AAACTTAATTAAGTGAATTTCTGTGGTAGTATAGATCAAGTTTATTTAAATCATGACCCCCGGGAGTTGCTAAATTATTTTTTTTTGTTTTACATGTAAAAAGTCAAATGTTTAAAATCATATCAGCACTGTATGTAAATTAGTAAATCAATCATATTCATGTCACACTACCTCAGTACCTGCTCTATCAATCTTTCCATTATAAATTCAAAAGTGCATATTAATACCAAGCATTATCTGATGTCAGTGAAACTGTCTCGTATTCTTTTTCTTTCCTTTTATTATATATTTTCTTAATTTTTCAGATGAATAAAGAGGGAATATATCTGCTGATAAAGAACAGGACCTGAGAAAGGTCATTGTATCTCAGGTGAGTGGTGTGATCCATGGGCCTCCTGTTATAAGTACATTTGTGTAATTTCTTACATTGACGTCATTCACGTGAACTTCATAAAGGGATGCACTGTACTTTTGCTTTATAACCAGAGACTTTAATATCATACAATCATGTTATAATAACAAATGGTTTTCTCCCTGCGAGTTATTTTCTTGGTCATCATCTTGGAGGAATAGCTAGCAAATTTTCCTCTTTGAGCAACCAATTCTTTGTATAACGCAAATATAAGGACCAAAAATTTTATTGACTAAAATTTTGAATTAAAGGATTTCTGTAAAAAGAAATTTTTTAGTATGTGTCATTTTAATCCAATTGCCAATGTTAATTTAGTTTTATTAAATTGATTGAATAATGAAGGAATTAGGACTTGTTGACATCCAAGATGGTGACCAATTGATGGGAAATAACTCCACACATATGCCTTTTTCTGGTATACCACTATATAAACATGATAATTATTAAAGTGGTTTTGTGCAAAGAGATTTGAAGTCTATAATATTATAATTCTTACTGCATCATGTGCATGAATGAATGACAATGAATTCTGTTTTAGGTAATTTTTTAGTTTGCGACATGTTGATGTAATATTTTGCCGAACCAAGATGCCCCATGCCAATTCCTATTTATCATGACATCGAAATTAAAGGGAGGGAATAACCATGAAGTGGACAGAGAATTGCAAAGAATCCGGTGAAAGTCAGTCAACAGTCAGGTATATTGCTCCAATATTTGTGAGCTGGCTTAGCTATATAGGCCACCTTATCAGAGTTCTTGAAATCTTTCGGTCCTGTCGGCAAGACCGATAAAAACAACCAAGGACCGATAACTTTACGTTCTGTGTCAGTCCAAATGACCGGTAGATGTTGAGAAAGCAACTTACGAAAATCCGACTAATTTTCGTACGAATTCCCTACAACCGACCGATCATAATCTGTTAAATGTTTTTCAGTATATCTCGTAATGGCTTCTTCGATGAACGCAAGTACCAAACTATGATTGATTAATTGTTTAAACAAGTTTTTGACGCCAATAAGGTATAGCCAGGTGAGAAAAATCAAACTAAGATTAAAAACCTATGAAGAAAATCGACCTGCCATGGGAATTCAACGAAATTTGTTACACGATGATCAAATTCGCATGAAGTATGCAGTGTGTATTGACGGAAGGTGCCAAATGTAATGATAATAAAATTCAAAAACACTTTTAATCTTCTTAAAATTATGTTTTATTATTTTGTTGGACTGATAGAAATCTGTCTGGACCGACAAACTTCCTGTGGCAGTCAGTCCAAATGACTGACAGTGGAAAAAAGATTTCAAGAACTCTGCCTTATTCTGAAATCTGTGCAACAAGGAAGGAATTTCCATATATAAACATTCATATTTTACAATGCTCATTAATCAAGGGATAAGATGGAGCCACAGTAGGGGATAAAAGTGTTATACAGAAATTGAAATATTCTTGGAAGATCTTTAAAATTGTAAGAACATGTACAACAAAGCAATTCTCAGTGGTCCAAATTTGTGGTTAAACACTTGATAATATGATATGGCCATAATAGGCATGATAGGGGATCAAGGATTTTTGCGAAAATAAATAGAAATTTAATGTAAACAAGAATATAGTAGTATGGCACTAATTAACTAAGTCCCAAAGAATTGTCTTGATGTGCAAAAAGTCCTTATGTTAAAGTCATGTGGATACAAATCCGTGTGGCTGCCCTTATGGTTAGAGTAGACCACTTGGGGCTTAAGTAAAACTTCACAGATAAAGTTGTAGACACTAGTTAATATAAATTAAGAAAAACGAAGAAATAGCTAGGATTAATATCTGCTTTTGTTTTTACCTTCAGACAAGTACTTCACATGATAGCTTAATTAACAATTTTTTTTTTAATTATGTGTTTCCTAATGTTACAAATACTTCTCTTTTCCTTCCTCTATTTTATCATTTTAATGAAATATTTTTTTTTTCATGTTGCAAAGCCTGCTTTTTCTTCCTAAGCTATTATTAGAGCCTGTAGAATAAAATGAAATAAATTCAAACATTTTCCTGGTGTATCAAGCTTTGAAATCTTTTTCCTAATCTTTTGAATTTCTTTTTAGGTTTCAGCAATAAAAGAGGAAGAATGTATCGGAATCCTGGATAATTAAAAAATTTGCCTTGGATTGGTAAGTATACGGAGATGGAATATCAATTGGTCAATAATAAATTGCTTGGTATAACATATTCTGAATGAAAGTGGAAGAAAAAAATCCATATTCGCTTTTGACTTATTGCATGGAAACAGCCTTCAAAACAGTTGGAATTTCTTATACTTTTTTGAAGTGAAATATGGTTCAGATTAGAGATGAACAAATGTGAACATTTTTTTTGGTTGATTTTTCAGAATTATAGAGGCAATAAAAAGCCTTGGAAATAAAGACAGAACTTGATAATGGCAAAATGATAAAAATATGTTTTTGTTTTCCAAATTGATTATACCTTATCAAAGAGAAAAATAATATCTGAGCCATAACTTTAATTGATCAATTTTCCTTTCTCTTTAAATTTATCCAAGCAAATATTTTATTTTCTCTGGGCTTCATCTTAAAAGGAAAATTTTTTTTACGTCTTTTTTCCTTGGACCTCAAGAATTCTCTAACGATGTCATTTCAGCTCGCCTAGTTTAAGCAACATTGGCAATGTTTATGAGTCAGAGAGGACCTATTGATTTTTGCTGGTTGGTGACCAGGCAGATAGCAGTAGTCGGAATCCTAGACTGTATTGGCTACAGAATCACATGGACGTTATATACACACTGACGATCACATTGTTACAACCTCTCGATCTGCCAGCCACGTGCAGCTTCAGATAACAACACTCCATCAGATCAAATTCTGTCCACAAGTGATGCTTCCATATTACTTCTCTTTTTCGGATTGGGAATAAGCCTGCAAATTTTTTTTTGCTCCTGGAGTCATTAGGATTTTTCACACTTGTTCCGTAAGTTTTATTTTCACTGTCTTGTTCTGTTTTGGATTCTTTAAGTAATAATGAGGGGTAATTAGTAATTTATGCCAAACTGCTCAATTACCATGTCAGGTGTAAATTCTTAATCCGGGTAATAATGGACATTGCAGTTTGTTGAATCACTGAGTCATTATGAAGCTTTTCAGCTAAGTATGGAATTATTCTGATTTTATTTCAATGAATATCAAATATATGCGCTTGCCGTGCTTGTAGTCACTATGTACTTGTATTAGCAATGCAGACTGCCAACTTGTTAAATCAATGAAACTTGTTGCATTATACTGGGAGGTTTTTTTATGGTTAGAATAATTTACAGGTTAAATATTAATAGGTCTCTTAACTGGTATTATAGTATTTTAATATTAATGCATCAACTACAGTAATTGATGTATGTATAAGCACAAGGATTTCTCCATAGAAATCATGGCATGTCTGGCCCAACTCATATTTCATTAAAAATTTTTTGATATTGCACCTTTGCTAATGGTAATATAATGTTAACAAATTCAACAAGGGGATAGGGGGATCATCGATGCTTATTTATAAATTGGTTTTGTTCTCATTACAAAGTCATGTATTGGGGAATTTTAAAAAGTAATTTTTATTAACAACTGTCTAATGATATTTTATTGTCATAGCTCAATTCCAAATGATTACAACAATAAATTTTGTTAATTTATTCTTTCCAAATATAAATTTTCATCACTAGCCAAATAATATCAGTAAGATTAATTAGCAGATCCACTGAACATGCATGGTCTAGAAATGGAAATTTTAATTTGAAATGAAAAATTTATTATTTTTATCATTTGATAATTGACAGTGATAAGTTAATAAATCGGCAGCATTTTACATTTTTTCTTGAAAATTAAAGGCTAGAATTCACTATGGTAATTAAGTGCTATTTTTATATAAGCTTTAAAAATTTATTTAAATAATTTTTACATGTTGGATGCAAGCATTGTAACTAAAGAGAAACATGCTAACATATTTATGTTTGAATTGTTTTAGCACATATAATCAGATTTGTTCATAACTATAAAAAAAAATTGAATGGAAATTATTTCAAATAAGGGAAACAATTGATATAATAATAGAGAATGATTGTTTCTTAGATGTGACATAATTATAACAGAAAAAATAATTTCGATTTTATCATTGTGTACCAATCTGCACTGTATCTTATGGTAGAAGCACTGTAGAGGCTTTTGGTCTTTGGCCTTGTTTGTTTATAGATTGATTTTCTCTCTTTGTGCACACTTCAGTTCTCTTTATTTAGCAATTAATTGTCCATTATCAGGCCATCAGAGAAGAAAAGTACCTTATAGCAAGCTATAAAAGCAAATTCTACATGTTTTCTTTGTCAGTGCATCATGTGGATTAGCAAGACAAATGTTGAAAAAATTGAGTCTTTAAATCTTTACAATCTGTACACGTAGATATTACTTGACGTGTTTCCATCATGGAAAGTATTACAGTGTACTATTAAATGATGAATTGGATTTTTTTTAAATATACATGAATGAAGTTACAGTTCAAAATACTGTATATGCAGAATTTTTACTGAGGATTAAAGTTTGGCATTATTAGCATGGGTGCTGAGATTGCTTAAACTGAATATAGCTAAAAATTAATTGCATTTAATTTGTAAAAGCTTCTTTATATATATTGTGAGCATTTTAGAATTGCTAAAATTACACCTTGCCAAAAATAAATTACCAATTTTTAAGAACAAATTTCTAAAGGTTTCTGATCTTGCTAAAATTTCCACTTATACGATAATTAGAATTAATCTATTTTAAGTAAAGTGTAGTTTTAAAAAATTAAGGCTTTGAAAATTTTTTTTATAATGACAGAGGTGTCTTGTCACCTAGTCTTTCCTGCACTTACTCTGACAATGAAATTTTTGCCGTTGCTCAACATTGTTGCCCTTAATGTTCCTTTACATTTTAAAATTTGCCCTTTCTCCTTTACATTATTTCTTCAGACAGTGCTCCTGTACATTGTTGCCCATAATGCTCCTTTAAATTTTTGCCCTTAATGATCCTGTACATTGTTGCCCTTCCTCTTTTACATTGTGCCCTTAGTGGTCTTTAATATTGTTGCCCTTAATTCCTCTGTTACATTGTTGCCCTTGCCCCCTTATGTTGTTGCCCTAAATGCTCCTTAAAGTTTACATTGTTGCCCTTTATACAACTTAAAATTTTGCCCTTCATTCTTTACATTGTTGCCCTTGCTCATTTACATTGTTGTCCTTCAAGTTGATCATGCTCCTTCTCATTGTTGCCCTTAATGCTACTTTACATTTAATTTGCTCTTCCTCCCTGACGTTGTTGCCCTAAATGCTTCTCATGCTTCTTTGCATCCCTGTCCTTAATTCTCCTTTACATAGATGCCCTTAGAGCGCCTTTCCATTTTTGCCCTTGATGCTTTACACTGTTACCCTTAATGCTCCTTTATATTGTTGCTCTCAATGCTCCTTTACATTTTTGCCCTAAATGCTCTTTTACATTGTTGTCCTTTATGCTACTCTACATTACTGCACTTATAATGCTCCTTTATATTGTTCCCATTGTTCCCTCATTTTATTGCCCTTGATTCTTCATATTATTGCCATTGTTTCTTTACATTGCTTTGGCATTATCCATTTCACTTCTTTTCATTATAATTGCCCTTACTCTTTGTCCTTGTTGCCTTGACTCCTTGCCTTTGGGTCATTGGTAGTATTGCCCTTCTACCTCACATCATTGCCCTTGCCATCACTTCTTGACTTTGTAGCCTATATTCCTGTGTAATCAGGGCTGAAATATCAGACATTCTTCTGTATCTTTGCCACAATATGTTATCATGATACTGTCCATGGATTATAATATTCTTGTTTTTATTAAAATGAATAATAAATATTTTATTTTCAAAAATGCATTCTGTATAGTTAGATAAAATTATGCATCAAAATGGCATTTACTATTATGTATTACATATTTAAATTTCAAATATTCATATTATTTTATATTTGCATGAATTCCAAAAGATAAAGTAAAACAGAGAATTTTTTGTTTTTCTCATATCATTTGATATTTCTACTTATTTCAATGAAGCAAGTTTCAAAATGTATAGCATCATCAAACAGAATTGATATAAATGGGTATCATCCATTCAGTCATAGTCTCATAGATGTGATATTTATCAGTGTCTATGTCCTGGACTTGTCAACTTTGGATTTTTATTGGTTTGCTTTATACTGTGTGAAACAGAACAGCGACAAATAGATTGCTTTTGTCCTTCCATGTATCTTGTCTTTCTGTCATGTGTTTCTCTTCGACGAGAATTTAATTTTCTGTAAAGATGAAATTAGTTATAATTTCCTAATACTTCCTTTGTGATTTAGCCCTGGCCAATCCTGCTTTAAATATTTCAGATTGTTCAAAGTGTAAAATCTTTTAACATCATAGTGCTAAACATAAACATTTTCATAATATTTGTAATCAAGTTTGGCCACAGAAAATTAGATAAGTAGAACTAGGGTAAAAATACTAAGTTTTATAAAGTAGTGGCCATTAATTATTACTGCAACTTAATAGGATATCCTTAGCTGTAATTTATATTAGAATTAGAAAAAAAGAATATTTCCATCTTTAAACAGAATAATACTTAATATGGAGAGGTATTTTCTTGCCAATTCCTGCATCAGTTATTTTTCCTTTATTTAATCCCCATCATGAGTAAAGGAAGCTGTACGTAATGGAAGAAATATGTATTTTTTTCTTTTCCCAGCTGGGATTTATGATAAAACCCTTTGTTTAATCTTCTGAAATAATTCGTATTCCCATTTAGAATTCTCTTTAAGATTCATACTTACTGCGGTAACTGACATATTTCATCAATATTTTATGAATTATTAAAGAATAGTCATCGTTAAAAGTAAGAGGGGAATTAATTTTCTTACAGTTATGGATGAGACATGCAAGGCTTAGCGTGCCGGGAAATCGAAATTATAGTACCTCTGAAGCTGGGCAGTCATGTAAGCTAGTATCTTGAGAAAAGGTTTTATTTTTTTTATGTGAATAAATATGACTGTGCCAACACTCACTCAACTTGATCATGTTGATATGTTAATAGAAGGATGTGAATGAATCCATTGCAAAGTTCGTGACCAAAATGATTTGGGGGAGGGGGTATACGTATATGCACTAAATTCATGAAACTGTAGTTTATTTTCTTCATGTGACAAGGCAATATTAAGCTTGATTTTTTTTTTCTACCAGTTTTCTATTTCATGCTTGTCAGTCTTAGAAGGCAGAACAGAAAAATAATTTCATGGTTGATTTGTGGAAGATAAGTTTGTTTTTTATTATAGAAAATTCATTTCTTTTACGGTATAAAAGGTCTTTGCACTTGGACTTGTTTTTTTTAGTGTCAATATATTTAATATTTATATATAGCTGAAACACTATATACATCTTGAATTTCAGATTTAAGTTTCAAATTAATAGTGTAAATGTATAATCTCAAAAAAACTGTCTGAAATCATTTTGCTTAAAAAAAAAAGATGCCTTTATGAATCACTAATGACGATGCCCCCTCATAGCCACTCGGCAAAAAGTTGCAGTTTCTCAAATGCATTAGTCAAACTCCAAGATCTCTTGAGATAAAAAATGTTAGTAATTGCAAAGAGAAAGTTTGTTACCAGTACTTGCAGGAAATACGTCTGTGAGATATGAAAGTCCTAGCTCCAGTTGCTAAATACCGGGTAAGTATAGTCATGCAAGGTTAAAGCTTTTTAAAGGTAGGTGAAAGTCAAGGTCAAAGATTCAAAAGTTATTGTGCACAAGGGAGGGTCTTGTCGATGGGAATTGCACATGTGAAATAAGAAAACCAAACACCCACCATTGAAATTTAAATGAAATCATCATAACTTCCATTGAGAAAAAGAAAACCTGAATGGTCAAAGGTCAAGGTCACACATTCGTAATTATTAATGATGCATTATCTCTCACCTGTAAACAATAAATAAATTTTATTACCAACAGAAATGGCAATGATTGGTACTGTGTTTATAGTAGGTTGTTTTATTTTTATAAAGATAACATCTAGTATTTCATTTGCCCCACCAGGGGGTGACTGTAACTGTTAGGAGTATACACTTTAGCCTTGTTTATTTTGTCACCAATAATGTTACATGAACACACAAACATTTAAGAGAATCATTACCAGTGTCATTAATGAATAATGTAAATTTAATTGTTCTTGGGTTAGCTCAGTGTACAGAAGCCTGGATACTGCAGGAGTCATATTTGCTGATTAAAAACCTAGATCCCATCCATCAATTAATTGATTTTGCTGATCAGTTACTAATTGTAATTGCTTCTGTGGAGTATCTGAGAAAGTCTATTGATTCAAAAGTGTTAGAGAATTCAACAATCTTTGGAAATGAAGCAGAAATGAAGAGAAAGATTTCAGTCGCAGGAAGCGGGTAAATTTTTTTAATGGATTTTGATGATTTCAGAATCTGTTTTGAGCTTGGGAATGAAATGGTGAAAATGATTTGGGAGCAATATTGACTGGATTGGGCAAATGTTGGAAGACTGATAGTTTCTCATGGCAACGTGCAGCAATTTGAATTTTTCTTTGTGATCCTTGATCAATTCCTCTTGATATTTTCAAGAGGAAACCCACATCAATTTCCATAAGGGCTGATTTAATGAGAGATTTATTTGAGATATTGTGCAATGGTATTTTGTGCAAAATATCGAAGGATAAGGTCTATTACGTTTTATAATGATTGCTTCTGAACCTTGTAACTGAGTCAGATATGAAAGGGTTGTGATCTTTTAATTCAATCTTAATATACATTTTGATGAAAATGGTGTGGGATGTGTTTTTTAAAGATAATTTTTCCTCCTTGGTGCAGACAGTAAGTGATATTTATGTACATGTTTGTACAAAATAAGATTTTCTCTCTCTAAGAGTTGGATTTTAAAGTGATTACAAATGGTCAATATTGAATTTAAGAGCGTATTAAGAAATTTAAGGATCAAGAAAAAAGAATGATGAAAATTCAATACTTCAAATTTGATACCACCAACATCTCTACCCTGCAGTAGATCTAAGAGATTAAAAGAGTGATCAAACTCTCCCTTTAACAGAAATATCACAGCAAAACTTGTTTAGTACGAACACGGATATTGCGAATTCACAGATATTAGCGAAGTAATTTTGGATCCACAGCTTTATGAATTTAAATAATTTCTTATATGGATATAACGAATTGAGGATATAGCGAAGAAATTTCACAGCTCCCAGTGACATCACTATAACCGGGTTTTACTGTACGACTATAAATGGTGCATGCATGGTTCCCTTGTTACGACCATTAATTTGCAAATGTGGGTAGACTAAGGTAGACATGCAGAATTGTTCTAGATATTGGTACAGGTTTTCACTATTATAGGAATCACTGAAGTGGTCAGTGAAAAATTAATCAAATTAGCTGCATAAATTTTCTAAACTCAACAGCTCTCTGATATTGTTAATTCTCTATTAACTTTCTTGATTGCTTTTAGTCATTCAAAATTTGGCTGTACAGTTATTATAGTTAGGCCTATAATATTTTAAATTTGTTTGCTTATAACATGTTCAAGGCCTATAGGTTCATCAGTGTGGTGTCAATAACCCTTAAAATTTGTCCAGTCAAAAGTAAATCTCCTAGTTGTTTGTCAGGAACTCTAAAAGTGAAACTATCATTGAAGTAATAATTAAACTCTTTATCCTTACTTTAAAATTAAGCCTTTTTATGGATATTTTCCATTTATATTGCAGGCATAATTGGGATACTAAGCTGCAACTAAGTTGCTTTTATCTGAATTCAATATGGTTCAAACTATTATTGTGATTTCATACATGTAAAAGACAAATGATATTACATTTTGGGGGAAGTAAATTTATAGATGTGCATGCATTAATGAGATGTGTTCAAATCCTGGTTGTTTTTATGACAATTTGAATTTCATTATCTCAAATGCTGATATCTCATTTTAGTCAATTATCATGGGTATGTCGCAGTAATTAGTGATCAGAAGTCTCAATCACTTTTTCAGTATGTATTTTAATCTCAAACTTCAGATATCTGGAAACTTTTTCTGAATTGGCCTCGTCATGTTCAAAATAACAAGGTTTGACTGTAATTAAACTTCGCATTTGGCATGCTTGTATTTTGTAAAAAAAAAAAAAGAAAAGTGTGCATATAACATATTGTACTTCAAGTTAATTTAGAATACAATTTTTATTCTTTGAAATTTTAATGTTTCTGCAATACCGTATAGCGGGTTTTCTTAATAGTGGGTGTAAAATTTGGTGTTTTGCCTGCTCAAAGGTATGTCAATAATTTCGCGCAATTCATTTTAGCAGATACAGGGTTTCAGCTTTTTGCAGATGAACACAAAGAAAAGAACTGAATATTATAGCGATTAAAATTTGAGCGGGCTACAATCAAAATGCCAAAATAAGCCAAAATTAGCACTCCGCTAAAATAACCCGCTATACGGTTTAATTCTTAGGAAGCTATGCTATAATTATTACATAGTAATATGTATACTAAGTCTAGTTGATATACTTTGAAATCTTTATTCATCCGGATTGGTTGCCACTTCAGTGTCTTCAACCAATATCTGATCCAATTTGCCCTGCACAGGTTCACTATTGACTCCTAAATGATACAAGTTCATACTGTTCGAGGGCTCTCAGAATGCTTGGTGTATTGGTCACCAATATTAATTGCTAGCAAATGTAAAAGCATGGATTAAAACCTAACAAGTACAAGATGCCTCTTTGTTTGGTTGAGGAGATGGAAAATGAACAATATGGAATAGATCTGTTTTGTTCAATTTCTAAGGGTTCCTATTTGGATTGGCAATTAAAAGAATGGGATTGAAGTGAAATTACTTTTTTTCTGTGTAAAAGGGTTTGCTATAATAAGGAATATATGTATTCAGTTTGATGTGGAGAATTTTACTCCTACGAATTCTAAAGTTGCTATTGATTGTTGTAAAAACCTTGAGTCATTTCAGTGCATCTGTAGTGATAATATTAAGTGTTTCATCATAGTCTTTGAAAATCAAAAACTTTATCTATCATATGAAGTTATAGTTAAAGGACTGTATTTAACTTTGAAATTAATTCAATTCAACAGAAAACGAGATCACCAGAATAATATTTTGTACTGTAAAATCGCATATTTTTGAGGGGTCAAATTTTCATGCTTTGGGGAAAATCCCTATGAACCATATATCGGTTCATGGGGATCTTATTTCATGGTTGAAGAATTGTTCAGTAGAAATATATGTGAAAATTGCATTTTGTGGTGGATATGAATTCATGGGTCTCTTCATGCCTTGAAAACCACGAAAATTAAATCCCCACGAAAATTAGTGATTTCACAGTATTTAATTTCTCCAAGAATATATTTTGTAGTACTTGAAGGAAAGCATATATATACACATGTATTGCAATTGTGGATTCATATAATCAGTTTGTCAATTAATTATGTATGGATATAATGAAGCACAAGTCTTCTGGACCACATTTTACCATGAGTTCATTTTCAAAGATCAAACTTCCAAGTATACAAAATAAAACTAAATAAAATTGAAATTAGTTGATAAGGCAACCTTTTGACATTTGTCTGAGCTTATTTTTTTTTATATTAAATAATTATAAAAATTGTTTTAACAAATGAACTGTCATTTTAAAAATTGCATATAAAAAGTTTGTAGAGTCAGTCGTTATTTTATCATTGTATATTTATTGTAAATAAATATAGAAAGTTATAAATATAAAAAATTGTTTAAAAAAATTCTTTTAATTTTATAGTGTCAGAAGACCTGAAAATAAAATGCTGACATTGAATCATCACAGGAACTGAACAAGTAAAATGCATGTGCATTTTGAGCAGAACAATTCAACACGAACGGAATGTACGATTCACTCCTTGTCATGGATGGGAAAAGTACCAGATGTACCAGACAACAATGGTGGCTGGAAACTGAACCGGAACCAGTATTATATGGAGGGCTGGCTGGCCAGCGGGAATGCCAAGGGGGTCGTGGGTGTCACCTTCACCACCAGTCACTGCAAGAAGTACGATCCACCACCCCGCAGTAATTTTAACTTGAGAGGACACAAAAGTGAGGTGAGTTGATATAGCTGAAGATGCATGGTTTTCATCTAAAGGTGCTCCTTGTAAATTTGGCTACTCGTATTTCTGAGTTAATTTTCCAAAGCCTCAAGAGTACTAAATTTGTGCTAAGTACGTAAAAATATAATACATAAGTGTATATGGATTATTTTATCATGTGTTTTTCACTGTGTAGCAGATTAGCAGTGGTGGTCAAACAATATTTACATATCCAATGTCTGTGTGAGAGATAAAATTACAGATTGTAAAAATACTTTTTTTTAAGACATAAATCTACTGGTTCATCGATAGGCACTGTTAAAAAAATCATTTGGGGGTGGGACAAATTGAGACAGAAGTGGGGCTTGCGTGTGAATATGTGGAATCAAGAGCATGTAAATATAAGGAATAATTGTTAGAATTTTTGGTTTCATGACGATGATCAATTAATTGGCTTGGCATGATAATTTTTAATAACACCTTCAATGTACTGTGTTCATGCAAATTGGTCATGCAAAAAAAACTCTAGTTATGACATGGGCATTTCACAAGTAATTATTCTTTATAATGTGGATATACATGATATTCCATAAAACATTTACATATGACATAGGATATTTTTGAAATTAGCTAAATGTGAGGATATCAATGAATTTGATCACAAGTATCATTTGAAAGCTAAATTGATGATTCAATTGTATTTGATGTCTAGTATTAAAAGTTTAAATTCAAATTTGCACTCCTTGATTGAATCTTTGTAATATATATATACGTCTTTAAAACATATGCCAAGGTCTGTTTCCTTTATTCATATTAAGATCACCAAAATCTCTTGTCCTAGCTGGTTGTTCTGATACTGCGCATTTTAAATTCCTCACAAATCCGCAAGATAACTTTGAAAAATGGGGTGAGCAATCGTCATGAGATTAAACTTGATTTATAGAAAAATTGTGATTGCACATTTGTATGATTTGGGTCAATTAATTGTGAAAAAAAAAAATTGATTTAAATCCATAAAAATTGGAATGGGTGATCCACTTGGAAGATTGGAATTATAAAAGGGAAGGAAAAATTGAGGGTGTTGTGACATTTTTCTGATTTATTTCATTAAAGGAGGGCCCAACATTGCTATATGAAAGCTGAATCCAATATAATGCTTGTAAATTGGAGTATTGTGACAAAACTCGGTTAGAAAATCCGATCGCACTTTCTCATAAAATATTGATTTATTTCAAAAAATTATTACAAGTTATGTAACAAAATAATAATGGGCCTTCTTAGCTGATCAGTTTTATGGAGATTTTTCGTGAGTTGGTACAAGACAGTAATCAGACATAATACACTGTAATACGATTTTTTTTTTCACGTCTGAAATGAGGATTTTTGGAATTGTGTCAGACTGGTATTAGATGATTAGTATTGAGACACAAGGTGATATTTAAGCTTTACTTGTCTGCTGAAACATCAGGCTATTATATGGCATCATCAATTAAAAAAATATAATGGTGCTTATGTGTTTCATGATTTGGAGCCCACTTTACTGACTTATTAAGCCATGTCTTCTTGCTTAAAATGTGTATCTAAACTTCATATTTTGGTCAAATAAAGTGTAATACTATATAAACAAACAATTATATTATTTCCCCAACCGTGAATAATTATTTTGATTTCATTTCAAATCATTTGCAAATGACACCATGCTGTATTTACAAAGAGATTAATTTATTGTCTTTCCAAAAGGATATTTGTTTCCTTGAACACATCGCAGAAGTACTGTCAATATTTTCCATCCAGTTGTCATTGTGAATATACATTGCTTTCTATCAATAATACCCATTAGGCGACACAATCATATATATTACACTACAGTGATCGTAGAACAATTCACTGTTTGATCATTCGATAGTTTCCCACTGGTAGCTTGGAGCAGGAGATTTAGAAAGGATGCGAAATTTCATCTGCAGCCATTTTACTTCACAGAATGTTTGGTCAAAGTGCTTTTATTTGAATATGCATATGTAATTAAAAGTGTGTGACACTAAATAAAAGGACCACAATTGTTACAGTCAGGACTAAATGGATGATGGGTTCCTTGATTTGCTTTTTGTTTTGTTGAGTGCTTTGATTTTTTGCCCAATTCATTAGTACACCCAATCATTTTGTATTTTGGTAACCATTTTACTTCCTTTTTAAAGCTATACATGTATGTGGCTAGATGGGTAAATATATGCATAATATAGGCATTAATGATTAAAGTCAAGCTGTTTTAAATGCTTAGTGAAAAACTAATCACTGTCTGTTAAGTAAATTCTTATCATATACAAAATATGGATTTACTGGTATGTCTTAATATCATGAAAAAGAGAAACAATTTTTATGATGAAATTTCAATGTCATCAGTGTCTTTCTGCAATGCAGCAATTTGCAATTAGTACATGTTAGTATATTAGCATGTTAGTACATGTAGAACAAAGTACAGAAAGGATGAGATTTCAGGCTTTGCTATTCATTTCTCTTATTTGATGTAATAAATACATTGTATGTCTTCCGGCTGGCATTTGTAAAAGTCCCAACTGTAGTTTTAAAAAACATGGAAGGTATAGATTTTACCAAAGGGATTTCTCCAGCAAGGTTCATCACAGGACAAAATGTGATTCCTTGATCAAGTATGTTATTGACATCGTCTTAAGCAAGAATTCATTTTGCAACAAGGATTTCTTTTATGTCTCTCTTTTTGGCCTCTGTCAAGAAATGTTTGCCAATTTTCTGTGTAAAAGCCTTATTACTCTGTGCAATTTTGTATTCTGCTGTCTTATGAGTTCTGAAGCCAGATTTCCTCAGATGAGATGCCTGCTGGTCTAGTGCTTATTTGTTTCCAACCACTGGCTCTACGGTCCCCTTTTGTAACAGAGGTTTATCATTAATGGTACTTTGGCAGGCTTTTCAAACGGAATGGAGCTTAGGAAAAAAGCTTGTGCTATTATAATTACTTTTGGCACATCTGGCATTTAGTATTAAAAAATGAAGGATGCAATATTATGACTCTTAAGCCATATATTAATATGTTTCCAGTAACATACTGTAAAAATTCAGGGTTTTTAGGAAGGATATGTCTTATTTTTTTTATTTTAACAAACCTGTATAGCCATACTGTTAATCACTTTTTATTCTCGGGAACTTTATTTTGACCTAATTATGTGAGACACTGTACTTCCAATGCATTTTGTAATACATGTAGCCATGGTATTTTAGGTAACCGTGTTAAATATCCTGAAGTTTACATGTGTGACTGTATAGGGTAAGACTGTAATAAAGTTAGATTAAACAAATTAATTATATATTTTGAGGCTTTAATTATATTAAACTCGCGTCTATGACATGAGGTCTCCAATATACTTATATTTTGGAAGTACCGGTGTCATATAATATATTGAACCCCGTGATATTTTGAACCCGGTGTCGTATAAAATAGCACAATTTATAGATTAATTGAATTGATTTGCTTTATCAAAGATATTCTATAAGTAAGATGTAGATTTTATTTTTGTTTTAAACAGTTGCACAAAGAGGCACCTGTGTGATGTGTATTCACATATTTAAAAACAATATATTCTATTTCAAGGTAACACTAGTCCGCTGGAATGAACCTTACCAGAAACTTGCCACCTGTGATGTCCAGGGAGCCATATTTGTTTGGATAAAACATGAAGGGAGATGGTCCACAGAACTGATCAATGACAGAAATAGCCAGGTTTGTGTCTCTTATGTGTAACTGTCAGTTTGGAGTTCGTGAAATGAAATACATGTAGATGATCAACAACAGTGATCAATCTGCAAGAAATCTTATTTTAAATTAGAAAAAAATTTCTTGAAAATTATTTTTTTTTTTTATTTCTTTGTTCCTATAAATTAAATTATAAGCATGGATAATTTCAAACAATAACTCTTTAGATTGATAAGTGTAACTGATGAACTCATTTTACAGGTGACAGACTTTTCTTGGTCCCATGATGGTAGAATGGCCCTGATCTGTTACTGTGATGGTTTTGTCCTGGTTGGGTCAGTGGCAGGACAGATGTATTGGTCATCCATGCTTAACCTTGACCAGACCACCATTACCTGTGGAGTGTGGTCTCCCGATGACCAGCAGGTGAGCTCTTCATAAAGCAGAGACAATTGCAAAAAGTTCGGCACCCCCCATCCCCACCCCCCCCACCACCCCCTTCAGAGAGAAATTACACTTCTGCATTGGTTTTGTGCATTATCAATGCAGGTGAATCTGAAAAGCAACTTTTATAGATTTAATAGAAAAAAAAAATTGAATAGGTCTGATTATTTTTATTCTTAAACTAGTGATTAATTAGAAATATACAAGATAGTGGGAAGAGGAATACTTAGTTCTTGACTAGATAGTCTAAGAGATAAAATAATCTTAGTCCTTCTTTACTGCAGTTGTCAATATATAGCTTTATATGAAGTTTGATCCATTTCGGTATAACATATGCTTACTTTGGAATCTCTAAAAATATGCTGTTTATTAGCTATACAATTGTGTATAATTAGCAAAGTAGGACAACAGTTTAGTTGAAGACCCACAAGGTCAGTAACCATAGTATTTTACAAAAGCTATAGTGGTAAGCAATATATATCAAATCCAGACCTCTTTCAGTTCTCAAGGTAAAAGGTGTGCAGAAGGACTGATAGACTGATATATGCTGGGTAAAGTTATCTCTTAGTCATGTTATTGTTGCTTTGCTCTGCAGGCAAAAAAGTATGCGCTAAACAATATATATCAAATCCCTGCCTTTGTCAGTTCTGAAGATAATAAGTATGACAGACAGACAAACAGACTGACAGACCTATGCTAGGTAAAGTTGTGTTGTTCTGTGCAGCTGACACAAAACAATTTTTTTTCCTTCACAGAAATTAAATGTATCATGCAGGTATCAAAATCCCAGCTTGCTTGATTCCATTACTGATACATTTAGAATCCAAACTAAAAAGCTAAAATAAGAAGCTGTTTTGATAGTGTTGACATTAGCGTGTATTTGCTGACATTAGCCTGTTCATGTACATTAGCATGCTCAGCCACATTAATTTTTATGCTCCCTGACAAAAGCCTGATTAAGTCTACTTAATCGGAGTGCCCTTAGTTCGTCTAGATATGGCTGTACATAATCAGAGGTGACGTAAACCCTAGACCTATGCCTTGTTAAAAATATCACTTAAGCTTCATCCTCATCAACCTCGTGTGCCCAAAATTCTTGATAACATGCATGTATATGTGACATTTAATCTGAAATTTTTAGTTAAACATGCTGAAGGCAAATCAAATATTTTTTTTTATTATTATTTTTTTTTTTTTGCAAAGTTGTTTTTGTGTACGTGATCTTATATGATTTTTTTCATGGAAAATGTCATTGTGGGTGGATTGTTCAGATATGGATCATGCATTCTATTAGCCGATGTAATGGTGTGTAAAATGTCACCTCATTGCTTTCATTGAAGTTAAAAAGTGGTATTTGATATAAAATTTATGATTTATTAATATTTTGGCTTATCGCTACTAAAATATCACACCTAAAGCTAGCTTATTCTGCTATTAATTGATGTACATATGTCTGGGAAATTAAGCACAAGATAGTGAACTTAGTGCTAACCAGTGTTTGGTTACTGCTGGTTCTTTTAACTTGGACTTAGCAGGATTGATTGTTATACACATGATAAAGGAGTGTTTTTTGTGGTCACCCTCTCAAGTGCGTTGGTGCCTACTTATATAGACATGCAACTATTTCCTTATAATGACCATAGCTCTCACATCAACATCAGCTTTGTGAATGAACAATATGATACATAAGTCTGAACTTTTCTTTTAGTTATCAAATCAAAAGAACTTCCAGTTTTCTTGAATTAATTCAGAATTAAAGAAAACAATTCCATGTTTATTTATTAAAAGTAGAACCTGTAGGGATTTTCTGTTATGCCATTGGGTTTGTCTTGAAACAACTTTTTATGCTAGCTAGCCTACAATTTAGTTGCTTTAAAATTATTTTGTGTAACAAGAAAATTTTTTTGAGAGTGAATCATGAATGACAATGTTCAGAAAATATTAATAGTCATTCAATGTTCGTCGTTTTTATTCTAAGCTGTTGAAAATCCATAAAAGGAGAATAATTGCTGTGGCATCCTCTGCCAGGCTTTGTAATCTGATACAAGTACATTTATTTCTTCTAAGCATGCCAGAACAGTCTGAAATTAAAAAGCCATTTTCTAGAAATTAAAGCTTTTAAAGAAATCGATACAAAAAGCTACTGCAGATACAAGCAGGCTTAAGTATATGTGTAGATGCAAGGATTCACAGATTAAATTTGACGATTTTTATGATAATGAATGGTTTTCAAAGAAAATTCCTTAAAAAATCGACCAAGGAAAATACCAAAAAATATGCATTAAAAAATATTTAATGATAATGGTGATTAAAAAATCTATAACCATCATGAAAATTGCATATTTCTAATCTTACAATGATTTGAAGCCTATGTGGATTTACTTTAATGAAAACATTTATCAAATATGGATGTTAAGCTTTTAAAGAGAGGATAGGAGAAACAGTTTGATACATTTGATATAAAATCAATATTTGTGGTATTCATTTAGTTCAAAAGACTGATAGATTGTAAACATTTAATTTTTAGGGGTTTTTTAAGGAAAGAAAGGAAAAAATATGTCAGCTGTACTTGATGGACTCTTTAATCAAAATAAGAATGAATTCAAGTTCGAAACAAAAAAAAAGCAGTGCTTTTTTATGAGACTGAAAATTTTGATGTCCGAAGAGAAACTTTTACCAAACATTTTCCTTAAATATTGAAACTAGAAATTCATTCTTTAAGGCAGTCTTTGTAAAGAGTACTCCTGCTTGCAAAAATAGCATTCATGCAACCTTTATAAGCACCCACACTTACCTTGAGTTCAAATGATTCTGTTTAGAATAATTTACCTGATACTTTAAATTACTTAAATTTACTGGTGAACATTAGGTAATGTCAAAGAGTACTGGTACTTTTCAACTCATATTCCCACTGTCTAAATTACCAGTTGTTTAGACAAGTTTTTGTAACTTTCATTGACTTAATGTTTATTATTGTAATAAATAAATCAATAACTTTCTGCTCTCAATGTATTTTGTCAAAGTATTGAAAAATTTTGCCAGGGGCTAAAGAATCTAAATTGTGACTTGGAGGGCAAAGATAATTATACCCCCTGCAAACGAAGTTTGGGGAGGTATATAGGAATCACCTTGTCCGTCTGTCTGTCTGTCCGTCTGTCTGTCTGTCCGTGTTTACGAGAGTGCATTTATTGGGTATTTTTCATGCCAAGATTGTACTTATTGGGTACTTTTTGCTTATTGGGTATACCCAATAAGAAGTGTCGCTGAATATGCTTAAAACACCCTAATTGGGTATTTGCAGGTTGGTACCCAACAAAACTTGGACACGACGATTTGTCCAAAAAAGTGTCCAAAAAAGTTGCTTTCACGGACACACCGTGTTTTGTTGTTTCAGTTTTACATTCGGAACTCTAAATTCTCGAGAGTTCCGAAAATCAACTTCCGTTGATCCTGATCATAACAACGTTTGTTTTCATGGAAAAAATATATGGCGACTAAGAAACACTTAATGTCAACAAGATTTTCTGATTGACAAGAGAAAAGGTAAGTTTATTCGATTAATATTTATCTATTGCTGGGTTCTTGTTTAAGGAAAATTGATTTTAATGTAATTTTGAAAACAATTGTGCAGAAAATTAAAATAGATATATCGGAACAATTAATCCTAAGTTGCACTTGTATGTATTTTGAATTTTCTCTGTCTTTTAACTCTCTTGAGGGCGAGAAGTATTTAGTAAATGATCGTATATTGTTAGATAATCTTTAATAAATCGAAAGTGTTTATTATTTAATTTTATATCATAACCAACTAAGTATGTTCTGACAATGTATATTGGAAAGGGAAATGAAAATTTTAACAATCGTAAGTTCATAAATCAGCTATAAATTATCGGTTCATGTAGACAGTATTACAATCGCAAAGTGAGCTGAGATGATGATAAATGGGATAATTGACAACAACTAAATAATTGTATGTAAGTTTATCTCATCTGATATGTAACTTAAGAGATTCATTGTATTACTGAAAAACTTTCAGTCAAAACAGTGCTTCTTTCTGTCTTTGATTTTGACTGAGTGTCTGCTTTATTTTGTTTTTTTTTTAAACTATTGTTCTTGTCATTTGTTTTAATTAATTTAAAACAATACTGAAATTGATATAGGGCTACTATAACTATTTCACATGATGGGTGTGTAATTAGCATCGCGCTACACCCGGGGCTTCCATTTTTGTGGATGGGGCTAGTGGTTTTCTGCACTGAGGAATCCCCTTGGGCTATAAGGAATTTTAAAATACACATGTAATACATGAAAAGCACCACCGGTATTTTCACTCTTTTTTGCTATTAAATTCGGAGCACGGAGAACACCTCGTTTTATCTAATAATACGATTTTATCTTCTGTATAATGTGTTATTTAAATCTTTTGTATTTTCTTCCAAGTCGGAGAAAATTCCGAGAATCCAAATTAAATTTTGATATCTTTATAACGCAGTTGACTTAGATTTTGTAATTTTCGGAAAATTTCTATCTTTATTATGTTTATATAAAGTAATGATACAAATAATAAGTTCTTATAATTTTAGTCTAATAATTTTCATTGTACATATGCCATATATGGCTTCAAATGATTCAAGATGAAAACAAAATGATTTTTGCTTCGTTTGAATTAGACGAACTAGTGAATGACCAGAAAAAGAATATTTAAAATCTTTTTTTCATTTTTTTAAATCATTAATTTATATATGATTAAATTTTACTAGCGAAAATTAAATTAAACTTTAATTTTAAAAAGAATCATCTGTAGTTAATACCCTGGGACCCGTTTAATCAAAGGTCGTACGCCCAGTCGTAGCGCTATGCCGGCGTAAAGTCGGGTCTAGCATGAATATTTGCATTTCATTAAAGAGCGTATCCTTAAGCCTGACTAAATTTAGGCCAAAATTTTACGTCTACTCATGGGTAGGCGTAAAGTTAAAATAAGGCCTTTTTATTAATTTTAGCGAGTTCTAAAGAAAAAGTAAGGTTCTAAGAAGAATTTAAAATACAAACAATGCGTTATTTAATTATACATATTATGAAGAGGGGGTGGGGGGGGGGGGGTTGGGGGTTGTTACAACTACTTGGGGACGTAGTTGATTTGAGTAATAACGTACTCAAAGAATATTTTGATAAATTTCTGCTGAGAAGAAAAGATTGTCTTATTGGAGATTTCTTACGTTTTGACAATGCATTCATACACATTTGATTGTGGTATTGTATGTCTAAGGTATTGCAAATCAATTTACATATATAACTGAAAGCGGGACGGTACATGTATATGTACATGTATATACTATTTAGTAATCGGGATGTCCGTCCCTCCATCTGTTACGCTTTGGGGGTAACCATCTCTATCAGCAACTCCTTTCATATCACTGATTGAAATTTGGTGAAATTTTCACAGAATCTTTATTATATATTGCCATTGTGCCTTATCGTACTTTTTGATCCGACACATATTTTGGGTTTCCCACAGCAAAACATGGACACTGCCATTATATTTATATGGAAGGCAGGGGGATATCTTTTATTGAACTCATTGTTTACGGTACCTCTAGTTTCTTTTTCATTTACTAAAAAGAGACCCATTAAAATTGTCTATTTTAAAAAATATTTTCCAACAGCATATTTTCTGAAAAACAAAAATTACAACAAAAAAAAATCGGTTTCAAAAGCATAGTTATCATCTTTCATGTAATTTTCTACATTTAAGAAAAAAATTCAAAAAAATAAACCAATTTAAAATCAAACAGTTTTTGTCATGTTTGAAGAGTCAATTTCTTATATACTTCTCGTCCACATGCGTGGATCCAGAGGGGGTCGGAGAGAGGGTTCAGAATCTCCCGAATTTGCAGATTAATTAGCATTGGATGTACAGATTACTTAGTTAAGGACGAAAGTAATTATTTTTCTTGGTATCTGGGACAAGTGATGTTTCCGGCGAATCATATACCCCAACCCAGGGAGGGGGTTGGGGTCTCATAGACAATAAGAGATTTTTGAAAATGGTAATAAATTATTGCTTTTATAATATCGATGTAAGACGGTGATAATTACACAGTTAAGTTCAAGAATGAATTATTCCTAATTTTTTTTTCTCAGACAAACATTGATACAGAAGACGTGTTTAATTTTCATAATTTTGTTTAAAAGAGCAAATCTTACATAGTATAAGATAATCTGAGCGCATATAAAGCACATATAAGATGAAATTATATATGTTTTTGATTTCCTGCATTACTTACATTTTAATGAAAACAAAATAAAGAGTAGCTGTAACTAAATTTTAAAGACAGGGACCACACAAGCAGAGAATTTTTGTAGGAATATCTTTGTAGTCATTTTTCCAAACCTCTCTCTCTCTATCTCTCTCTCTCTCTCTCTCTGCGTACTTTTAAAACGGTACATCACATTTAATCTGCAGATAGTAAAGGATTTTTTTCTATAACTGAACAATTATGAATCAATTGAATTGACAAAAAATTAATAAATACAGAGAGGATTATCTTACATGTACCATAGTAGTAAACGTGTAAAATTTATTTCTTGACTCAAAATGTGTTCATATGTAAACCGTTTGCATTTTGTTTTCATTATTTTTGCTTGCATATACATTTCTTATTAAGATTTTTAAATCTTATTCTGTCTCAAACTTAATTATTAGTATTTGTCAGTAGAATCAGTATTTATCGAATCATGAAATTTATTATCAAGGGCGAAGTTATTAACCTGTATCAAGAGGGGGTATGGCTGTAATTAAATTTCCAAAATGAATAGTTTTGCTTAATTCCGAAATACAAGTACATGTACTGTCCTTTTCATCCTTTCAATTTATTAGACTTTTATTATTGAAATATTGTAAAAAACTAAAATTGGTTTCTTAAAAGATGCATGTCTCTTACATAACACTATAAACCCATGCATGTTTCAATTAGTGCAAGTATTAATTTATCTATAACTTGTGTTATTCTGTACTTTGACGTGCTACAATTTATACATGTTTGTACGCTTTGGGCAATGTTTATGTTTTTGCGCCTGCGCAATGCAATGTTGTCAAGGACCTAGTCCTGTGACTAAGAGTATCTTTTACGACTAGACTTACGCCACTTGGTGAAACGCAAATTACGCCCGACTAAATTTTGGCGTAATCCCCGGAAGTACGCCTAAGTTAAGGCTTATCTTTACGACTTTTGATGAAACGGGCCCCTGACTTTTTTTCACGATGAACCTTTTTTCAATGTTACTTTTTAATTTTTGCCTTATATTTGGGCTTGCCACTTTTTACTCGGGGATAGTAACTTTATTGCCACAAAGCTGTGGATTAGTACTTGATTTCCTTTATCATGTTTACTGCACAGCGATGACTATGATTTAATAGCACAAAAAGCTATTGGGTTTACGTATGTGAATTTATATGATTTAATGCTTACTTGTGGTTTTAGGATAACTGGAGATAATGATTCCTTTTTTCCATTGATATTACATAAATATTTTCCTACGTATTATGTTACAATAAATTGGTTTAGATTTTTTTTTTATAAAAGTAATCAATAATTACAATGGAAATTAAAACCATAATCATGTTCATTGAGGATTTTCAATATGTAACAGGTCAAACAGGAACTTCAATTCTGAACATTGCAGAGAACACACCCATCAGAAGATGACCCTCAGAAATAGGACAATTGTAAGTAATCAGTAAAATGAACAGGAATACTTCATGCCAACCATAAGATTTTTAGAGATATTTTCGCTTCTTAAATTAGAAGAGATAGAGGGAAAAACTTGTACATACTACATAACCAGAGTTTCCGAAAACTATCGGTCCTACCGGCAAAACCGATAGAAAATCTAAATGTCCGATGAAATTCGCTACAGTATCGGTCCGTGTGACCGATTGTGGTGAGGGCTTGTCCTGATTAATTTAATGTACTCTAATCTATTGCAATATCTTCATAAATGAAAAATTTCAATGCAGCAAGCTCCTATTCTTCGTAAATAACCATTATCTTATCCATTTTGCAGTTCTACTTGACTTATTTACTTCCAAAAACGATCGTTTCTTACTAATCCGAATTTCCTCCATTCCTCTGTTATTGGTAAACACATGTAGTATATAGGTCAAGAGGTGCAATGCCCACTGAGAAAACGTAAAGATAATTTTTTAAAATTTACTTTTATCTTGAATTTCTACTGCTATTTATATATGATTCAAATTTACAAGTGAGAATTAAACTTTATCTTTTTCAAGAATTAACTTTTTTTGTAATTAGTTGTTTCTTTCTCACAGTATTTACTTGGGGCTAGTGACTTTATTGCTGCCACAAGCCTGTGTGACCTGGTGCCATGTTTGAATTAATTACAGTTGCATGCATTTTATATTCCTGGTATCACAATCAGTGTTTGTGAGCCACAATTTTTTTTTACATATTCAATGCCATTTTCTTTGAATTACATCTGACATGAGAAATACACTGTATATTTTAAAATTTATTCGGACTGATAGAATATATTTCGGACTGATAGAACACATTAAGTCATCAGTCCGAATGACTGATAGAAAAATTTGGTTTTCGGAAACTCTGCATAACTACTAGGCAACCAACCTTTAACTGCAGGAAAGCTTTCGGTATGTACAATACAGCTACATAAAACCTCTTTAGTATTCATGTTAAGTTTGAGAAAGCACCTTAGTATTTTTTCTAGTGTTTGCCACATTTTCATGCACACTGTTTGCTTGTTTGTACTATCATTTTATTTTAAATTCTTCAGATGCCCTTTACCTTTGCCAGTTTTGAATCATTTGTTTTAAGGGCATCTGGGGGTTGGTTCCAGAACGTAATTAATTGTAAAGTAAATACTGGGGTACTATACGGTCATAGGTTATGTTAATACATGTATAACATTTTGTTCTGATAGAGGTGGCATACAGGAAAAGAAACAATACTAGATATCACTTCAAAGGAATAAAACAGCTTCATCTTGTAGGTGTATTTTATTTAAGGATCACTTATTCATGTCTGATGTGCTGAAAGTTATTCATAATCTGTTTGACTGTAATTTTTCATATTTTCAACTTCTATCCAGCTTAGTCAATTTTAATTAAATTTTGTGCAAAGCATAACCCAGGAAGGGGGATGGAGTGTCAAGTGTGTCTCTGTCCCTGTCAATATAATTTCAAAGCAGTTAGTAAGGTTTGGGTCAATTTTAAATCCTCTTTAGCAGAACCATTGGGCTAAAACAATACTAATGTGAAAGCTTTATCATTAAGTGTAGAGACGTTTTTGAAGATTATGTACACCTTATGTACTGATAGTGTTACATTAGAAGGCTAAAATTTGCAAGGAATAGGTGTAAAATCTTTTTAAAATCTACTTCTTAACAATCAGAAACCAACATACTATCTAATTAATATGCAACATCGTTTTGTGTGATAGTTGATAGAATTTAGTTTTTCTTCCATTTTATTTATCAATACATATTTCTGAATAAGAAATATACTTCTACTTCTTAGTTGGGTTTGATCAACATAAAGGGTTATCTTGCTGTAGTCAAGAAAAACATGTTTTATACGGCAAAGAAATGCCTTTATCTAATTGCAGAATGAATAAAAGGGACAGAGGCAGAACTGAAGGAGATGCATGAAATGAGGAATATTTCAAAGATTGCCTGAGCATAACCACTGCTACTGGATAAACATATGGCAATATTAAAGAGCAGGGTCAATGGAGGTATCATACAGTATAGGCCATGAGAGACCCTGAAGAAGAAAGTATTGAACAGAAACAAAAATAAAACCATTTTGACATTTATTGAAATATACATTTTAGGATCAAAGTCTTACATGTAAAATTTGGGCATGTAATGACTTTTCTCTAGCTCTAAGACTTATAATAGTGATGATTTGATTTAATATCTTTATCCCGATTTGTCGAAAAGATTTGGACATAGTGCATCAATTATTTTAAAGTTTTGATACAACAAATTCATTCATTGTACTTGTAACTGAGTTTTCTGGTGCGATACTGTTTTATCTTCTTCAAAACTAAGTTTGTGATTTCCAAACCAGATTAATGAGATCATGTAATATCTTTTAACATCGGTGACTATTTAATCCATTCTTTTACATCTCAGAAGTATTTTTATTATTACAGGGAAAATATGCATTGTACATGTATCTGTAATAAACAGGATTATAGAAATTTTCAATATAATACAACACAATCTTAGCAACTGAAGGCAAATATTTTATCAAGGGTGTGATCTATTTATCAATATGGTTTTCAGCATCTTGCTCTACCTGTAATGACTTGCTCCAAGTTCCAATATTTATATTTAAATTTTGCAAACATGGTTATAAAATTTTTTAAAAGCCAAATAGTTTAGGCACAAAATGCTTATATATTTCCTATCATTTGTAAAGTGTACACTGAATGAGATGTGGAATGTTAGAATTAAAGTATTTAATATGTTTGGACTTATGTATGCTTATGCAGATAAATCTGAATTCAACTAGGGAAGGTAAATATCATACTTATTGGGTTTGCAATCTAATGCAAGAGTATATATATCCAAGACAAATTTGACAATTTTAATGAAGGGTATAAGTAACCCAAGAAGAATTGGACAGGTAAACATCACCTGTTGGGTTTTATTCTAATGTTGGGATGTAATATCCAAGAAGAGTTGTTCCAATGTCCAGTACCTATTGGGTTTTCTTTCTTATGAAAAAAAAATTGAGTAACCCAAGAAGAATGTCCAATACCTTTTAGTTTATATACTATTGAAGGGATGAAGATATCCAAGAGGAATTGGACAGGTGTCCATTACATGTTGGGTAGTATTCTGATGAGGGGATTCTCAAGAAACCCAAGAATTAGACAAGTGTCCATTGCCTGTTGGGTGGGATGCAGATATCCAAGAGGAGTTGGACGGATGTCTATAACCTGTTGGGTGGTATTCTGATGAAACAATTCAAGAAACCCAAGAAGAATTGGACAAGTGTCTATTACCTGTTGGGTGGGATGTAGATATCCAAGAGGAGTTGGACAGGTGTCCATTACCTGTTGGGTTGTATTTTGATGATGCAATTCAAGAAACCCAAGAATTAGACAAGTGCCCATTGCCTGTTGGGTGGGATGTAGATATCCAAGAGGAGTTGGACAGATGTCCATTACCTGTTGGGTGGTACTCTGATGAAACAATTCAAGAAACCCAAGAAGAATTGGACAAGTGTCCATTACCTGTTGGGTGGGATGTAGATATCCAAGAGGAGTTGGACAAGTGTCCATTACCTGTTGGGTTGTATTTTATGTGGAGATTTAAGAAACCCAAGAATTAGACAAGTGTCCATTGCCTGTTGGGTTGGATGTAGATATCCAAGAGGAGTTTGACGGATATCTATTACCTGTTGGGTTGTATTTTGATGATGCAATTCAAGAAACCCAAGAAGAATTGGACAAGTGTCCATTACCTGTTGGGTGGGATGTAGATATCCAAGAGGAGTTGAACAGGTGTCCATTACCTGTTGGGTTGTATTTTATGTGGAGATTCAAGAAACCCAAGAATTAGACAAGGTCCATTGCCTGTTGGGTGGGATGTAGATATCCAAGAGGAGTTGGACGGATGTCCATTACCTGTTAGGTGGTATTCTGATGAAACAATTCAAGAAACCCAAGAAGAATTGGACAAGTGTCCATTACCTGTTGGGTGTGATGTAGATATCCAAGAGGAGTTGGACAGGTGTCCATTACCTGTTGGGTTGTATTTTGATGATGCAATTCAAGAAACCCAAAAATTAGACAAGTGTCCATTGCCTGTTGGGTGGGATGTAGATATCCAAGAGGAGTTGGACAGATGTCCATTACCTTTTGGGTGGTATTCTGATGAAACAATTTAAGAAACCGAAGAAGAATTGGATGTCAATTACCTGTTGGGTGGTATTCTGATGAAACAATTCAAGAAACCCAAGAAGAATTGGACAAGTGTCCATTACCTGTTGGGTTGTATTTTGATGAGGAGATTCAAGAAACCCAATTAAAATTGGACAATGTACACATGTTCAATTGTTCTTGGGTAGTTTAATCCCTTCGTCAAAATACAACCAAACAGGTATAGGACACTTGTCCAATGCCTGTTGGATACCTTCATTCTGTCCAACATGTAATGGGCATTTGCTTATTATTAATTGGTCATGACTCAAAAAGTTTCTCCTTAGATACTTAATTTTGTTATTCAAGAAAAGTTGAACAAAGTCTGAGATGTTTTGAGTTGTGTTTTCACAATTCATTTTTTTGCACTTAAGTATTCATATATTTTAATATTAGTTATTCTGAAATATACAGGTGTATATCCTTATTGCTAAGAACAAATTAGTTAGGTGTTAAAATAAAAGAGCTATATCACAGAAATTGACAAAAATATGGGTTCAAAACCAAAGGTTTTCAGTCTTGTCTGAATTTACCAGCAAATATTAAATCTATAATAAATTTGAAATAAATAAAAAACAATAAGAAAAAACCCAATAAAATACGGACACGAGGATTAATATCCAATAAGATTTGAACAGTAACTACCCAAATAATGCTCTCTCGTGTGTACACTTTTTTTGTATCCAATAAGTAGTATCCAATAGGACTTGGACTTGATGTACCCAATATATAACCAAATGTGTGTCCGTCCGTCTGTCTGTCTGTCCGTCTGTCTTTGCAATTGTGTCAGGTCCATATCTTTCTTACAGAGGGACATTAGAATCTACTACTCCACACTAAGATTGCTCATAACCTAAGGGTGTGTCATGACCTTGACCAAAGGTCATTTGGGGAAGTTCAAGGTCACTGGAAGAAAAATTTCATAATTCGTGTCCGGTCCATATCTTTCTTATGGATAAACTTGGTAGGTTCTCATTTCACACAAAGATTGCCCATGACCCAAGGGTGTGTCATGACCTTGATCCAATGTCATTTGGAGAAGTTCAAGGTCACTGGGAGAAAAATTTCAAAATTCATGTTTGACACATATCTTTTATGGATAAACTTGGTAGGTTCTCAGTTCATACAAAGATTGCCCATGACCCAAGGGTGTGTCATGACCTTGGCACAAGGTCATTTGGGGAAGTTCAAGGTCACTGGAAGAAAAATTTCATAATTTGTGTCCGGTCTCTATCTTTCTTATGGATAAACTTGGTAGGTTTTCATTTCACATAAAGATTGCCCATGACCCAAGGGTGTGTCATGACCTTGACCCTAGGTCATTTGGAGAAGTTCAAGGTCACTGGTAGAAAAATTTAATAATTCGTGTCCAGTCCATATCTTTCTTAAGGATAAACTTGGTAGGTTCTCATTTCATACAAAGATTGCCCATGACCCAAGGGTGTGTCATGACCTTGACCCAAGGTCATTTGGGGAAGTTCAAGGTCACTGGAAGAAAAATTTCATAATTCGTGTCCGGTCTATATCTTTCTTATGGATAAACTTGGTAGGTTTTCATTTCACATTAAGATTGCCCATGACCCAAGGGTGTGTCATGACCTTGACCCAAGGTCATTTGGAGAAGTTCAAGGTCACTGGTAGAAAAATTTAATAATTCGTGTCTGGTCCATATCTTTCTTAAGGATAAACTTGGTAGGTTTTCATTTCACACAAAGATTGCCCATGACCTATGGGTGTGTCATGACCTTGACCCAAGGTCATTTGGGAAGTTCAAGGTCACTGGAAGAAAAATTTTATAAGTCGTGTTTGATACATATCTTTATTATGCAAAAACTTACTTCTGAAAAACCCAGCGGTGGGTATTTTGTCCCAATTGGACAGTTCTAGTTTGAGATAGTAGGAGTGTAGTGATTATATGGATATTGGCCTAGAGAGCTCAACTAGTATTATTAGAGCACCTGACATGTGATGTTTGGCTGAGCTTCAAATTCCTGATTCCTGCCAGCTTGAACTTTTCCATGTCTTGTTTCACATATCGGAAAAATTCTAATTATGGTTCACAAATATACTGGTATTTATGCCCCCTTCGAAAAAGGGAGGGCATATTGCTTTACTCCTGTTGGTTGGTCTGTCGGTCTTGCTGTCAGTCCATGATCAGTTTCCATTCATTTTCTTTGCAGAGGTTGCACATATTGAAATGAAATTTGGTATACAGATTGAACGAGATTTATCATAAAAATATCCAGGTCAAGTTTTCTTTTGGGTACTGTTGGACAGAGTTATGCTCCTTGGACTTTAAAAATTCCAATAATTTGCAGTTTGCATACATTTTCTTGGCAGACTTTTCACATATAGAACTGAAATTTAGTATACAGAATCTGAAGAATATCTAGATCAAGTCCTGTTCTGGGTATGATTGGGCCATTTTGGACAGAGTTATGCCCCTTGGACTTAGAAAAATTCCAAAAATTTGCAGTTCGATCTGTTCATTTTCTTTGCAGAGTTTGCACATATAGAACTGAAATTTGGTATACAGATTTATTATAAAAATATCTAGATCAAGTTCTGTTTTGGGTATGATTGAGTTTTTTTTGACAAAGTTATGCCCCTTTGACTTTTCGGTAATTTGCAGTTTCCCTTCATTTTCTTTGGAGAGATTGCATATTTTGAAATGAAATTTGGTATACTGATTTATCATAAGAATATAAAGACCCAGGTCTGTCTCAGGTAGGATCAAGTTATTTTTGACAGAGTTATGCCTCTTCGACTTAGAAAAATTCCAGTTATTTTGGGGGAGGACGCATAAGTGTTTTACAAATAGCTCTTGTTATAAGTAACATTCCTGTCGGACCATGCTGTTATGCTATTATGAATGACCTGACTGTTGATTTTGTTTTACAGGTCCTGTTTGGTACTATGGATGGACAGATCATTGTACTTAGTTCTACTGGTACCATGGTAACACAGGTGATGGTGATGCAGGGAACTGAGATTATCTCCCTTGCCTGGTCCTGTGAAAAGTTCAACATGGATGAGTCCTCAATGGAACAGAATGAGAACCTGACTGCCCCTCATGGTGAGACCACTGTGTGAGACTGAAAAAAGTCAACAGGAATTAATCCAAATCGATGAATTAAAAAATGTCTCTTTGAAGTAACTTCAGAATAGCAAGGATAAAAAAAACAACAGAAATTTCATAATCCTATTTCATTCAAATTTAATGAATAATAGATAAGCTCTCTAAATTTTCCATAGAGTAACAACACTAAAAAGGTATTTATAATTTTAAGGTTGCACCACATGATTTTATATTAAATTGCCAGAATTGATAACACATTTTTTTAAGTAGATGAACCTGAATTTTCTTTCTACTTCCTTCTTTGAATGTCATCTTAATTTCTCTAAAGGCCACAAATTATTACAGATTTAGCTGAAGTTTATTATTGACGTCAAGATGGTAAATTTAAAAATAAGCATTTTTTCTCGCTATGTATTCTCAAATTTCATTATATCAAGTTGATCAAAAGTTCACCATCTTGCAATCGAGAGGTAATAATTGTTCACATACCGGCTTTGTGATTATACTGCCATTTCTGATTGGGCAGTGTTTTCCACCAAATAAATATATGTCAGTCTGGAGGAAATTCAGATATAATGATTTTACTTTGAAATCCACCTACTGTAAATCACGTTTTATTCGCGAGAACTTTATTTTTGCGTAATTACGCGAGACAATGAGCTCGCGAAAATTTCATTCTCGCGTTTAAAAGTATTCCTTACCGTTATATAGAGAAAAAACAACAATTCGTGAAAATTATGTCTCGCTAATAAAGAGTCAATGACTATATCGCGAAAATTTAGTGTTCTACAGTAGTTTAAAGTTGCCCACTTGCGAGAAGGGCAAAGGGGGAGATAACAAATCTTAGATAGGATGAAAATCTCCTGGTATACCTTGTTATAATAAAAGGGAAGAATATTTCATCAATGGAATAATCTAAAAGTTGTCTTTAAACATACATGCTTGTACTGTGTTTTAGTGTCAACACCTAAATCTGTGGATGCCGTTTTGGCGGTGTGCTTTAAGAGTGGTGCCATATACCTAATGTCAAACTTTGATGACCTACATCCCAGGATCATTTACACCAACCTCAAAGGTAAAAACGCTCATTACAGGTAGATAAAATTATACCTCTGAATACTAATTCCTCTGAAACTGGTTTAAGTGAAAGGAGGGAAAAAGTATTTTATTTCAATACATTTGTAAATCAAACTGTCATTATCTGTTAAATAAATATCTGGCATACTGGTAATGCATAATTGATTTGAAATGTGTAAATTGTGAGTGGTTATGAAGATCAATTTCCCAAATTTTCAGTATTGAAAGTCAAAAAGCTTTTATTACCATGATAATGTAAGTTTATTTCGCTCATAATTAGGTATCAATATATTAAGTAAACAATAGTTTTGGAAAAAAATGTAATTTCAAAGTTTTACTTTGAAATTCCATTATGTATAGTACACACAGAACTGTTTCTGACAGAAACCTTCAAATCTGTATTGAGCCAGTAATTGTGATGAAAAAAGCTGATTTCTTAAATTGATTTTGCTATTCCCTGTTGAATTTCCTTCCTTTTAGGACATAACAGCATGGCTTCCAAATTATTCAGAAAATGCCTTTTGTCCTGCAGTGTTCTAATCATCTTTCTGTTTAAAACCCCGCCATGCTTTCTTTCATTTTTCGTTAACTCCCTGCTGTTTTGTTGATTTGTTAAAGATACTGTAAAAGAAACAGTACAGATATGTCAGTCACTCGCAGGACTGGTTTCCAGTTTTGTACAGGAAATTGATTTTAGTTGTTTTTGGTGTGTGTCACTGTTTTGAATCAGCCAATACTGATTGCATGACAAGCAATGGACCCTGCTACAATCAGGAACAGACAATTTTTTTTTGTATGGCAACAATTGCTTATCTACGTTACAAAAGCTGGGAGCACATTGTTCTAATGAGGATGTCATGAATTGCCAGAGGACCTATTCTTGCTTCATTAGGTAGAAGATTATAGAATCAACCATAGGGGTTTTTTGCCCCTCATTTGATCTCTGTGTTTCTATTTAGGGTGCATTTTCATTGAATGTTTTCAAGAAGTGAATACTTGGAAGTAAATGGATATATATATTGCATTACTTTATGACAAAAATGCTGTATATGGTAAATGCTCTCATTGCTTATTTCAAATTTTGTAGCAATATTGCATCGCTTTAAAAGTCAATGAAGACACTGCACACACCCCAACCTAATGTTATCTTTAGTTTTTTGTTTATTTTTGGAAGTGAAGTGTTTATCTTTTCAGCAGATATTTTTTTTTAGCTTTGAGCTCAGTCCCTAGTGAGAATTTTTAATCTCATTGACATGAAAAAAACTAATGGTTTTGTCTCATTTGATACTATTAAATATAGCTTTTTGGTATTTGGCTTTTAGCACTATTATTAGATTAAGTTGCTATCAATGATCTCACAGTGTATTGTACTTATTTTGATTGAACAGGCTCCATTAAATTGGACTGGTCTAACTGTGGTGAGGTGTTAGCTGTTGGGGGATTCACAAGGTTACCAAACCTTCAGTGCCAAAATGAGGTTCATTTTTACACAAAAGAGGGACAACTCCTACATAGGGTTTATCTCCCTTGCCAGGTAATGCAATATTCATCAACATTCAGTCTCCTTATTCCTGAAAAGTTAAATTGTTAGAAGAATGGAAAATTTTAATTATTATTATCCTCAATATTATTACAATTAATATACCACATGTCTATAATTGTTGTGCTTGTGTATGTTATTATGTACATGTTTAATGGGAGTTAAGTCCAGAAAGTTGTAAATTTGATAATTTGTTTCGAGTAGTTTTAAAATACTCTGTATTGAGAGAAGCCATGACTTATAGCATAATATGTTACCCAAAGATAAATCCTGGAGTTTTTTATCTGTTCTAGCATGGACCTTTTATTCTTTTTGATATCAATTTTCCATTCAAATAATTGAAAATTACACCAATTCTTATATTTATGAAATCCTTCTGCACTGAAGACATTTAGTACAATAATTTTATCCTGAAATTATTTATTTTTTGTCGCTTGTGAAAATTGTGATTAGGATAATGTTCATCCATCAGGATGCCAGTGTTGTGATGGATGGAATTGCTGCATTTCAGGAGGCCATTCCAGCAGTCATTAAGAGAAGGGGATTTATATTTGTCTTTGCCATTCTAACCATTTGTACTTATCGCGAGCAATGGAAATCACCAAACGTGACAAAATGGGCAAAAAAGTCTATATCCCTGCTACTAATTTGTTTCATTTTTTTTTCTTCCTTTTTTTGGAATTGGCATCTATTTATGAAGCTGACAGTAAATGGAGTTTATTCTAGACTTGTGAGATAAAAGGTGTGTGTTGGCAGAATGCATTAAAGAATATGGTTTGTCAATTAAGAGTGTTTTTTTTTCTAGGAATTCTAAAGGTGCCTGAAGGTTTAGACATTTGTTTGAAAGGGAAAAAAATAACATGCTGAAGTCAGAGAATAATTAAATGGAAATCAATAAATATAGATTTCACAAAAATAAAATCAAAAGAAAAAAAGATAAAATGGCACATCTTGGACAGCATTCCTTTTAATTATATCAAATGTGTCTCACTTGTTACCACCTTTAACAAATATACTATTAATTTCATGACCTAGTATGTGCATATATATATATTTTTTTTTCAGTGATCTATGTCTTCATATAAAGATAGAACAAACAGGTCGATAGTCAAATAGGAATTCACTTCCCCCTGGGCAATGTCCTTTTGGGGAAGTTCACAACAACAAGATGCAATGTCATTAAATGGTACATCAATTTAAAATTACAATTTTTGTGATTTGATCTGCAGTTGATTTGAAGATGGAAAAAAAAATCCACTATAATTACAAACATTCTGACTAGTTGTCTGGGATTTACATGCCTTTTGTGACTTGGAATGGAAATGTTTCTCTCCAATTAATACATCTTCATACCTTTGAGGGATTACTTAATGGCTCTATAGAACAGATCCTAAAGTGTTCCTTCTTCATTTACCAATCAGTTAATTGACAGATTTTTTAGTTCCTGTTAACCATAAAAGTAGGAGGCAGAGAAGCCTTAACAGTTTCAGACGAAAATACCTTAATTGAAAGCATAAAATACTGTATACAGGGTTATTTTCACCTTTCACACTTGCTAACAATTTTACCCTGTTTTAAATTTGCCCTGCAGTCACAGTTTTAAGAATTTATACTGTGTTCTTTGAATTTGCACTATTTTAAATTCACCTATATACTTGTGGCAAGGGCAAAGGAGGTGAAAATAAAATGGGGGCAAGAATTTCCCTGTATACAGTAACCTAGAATTTTATGATAAACTTCCGTATTTGAACTTTGACCATGGTCTAGAAAAGAGACAATTGTCTGTTTTTGCGAACATTTCTCAATTCAGGCTTATAAATTGTAACTCTTCTTCAAGAACATCCATTGATGATATTTCAGTGCTAACAAAAGTGCATGGAAATATTTGAAGATCTTGGTATTATGTTTGATGTACAGTATTTTTTTTTGTTTTTTTCTACAGATATTGTGAATCAGAAAATTCTATATAGAAGAGAGAGAGAGAGAAAAGGAATTTGGTTTAGATTCTCAATTAATTTGTGAAGTCATTTATGTTGTAAATGAATTAAGATATTCAATATTTGATTAAAGTGTTCCAATAATGATCATTGCACAAAATTAACAAATGAGAACACTGTAGCTATAGTTGTGATTTGAATCTCAAATAGGACACAAAAGAAATGCATGATTTGACATTAGGTCAATTTTTATTCATTTAGTATTTAAATTTGAATATATGAGATTTTGAAAATCTTATCATGGTTAGTACTCTCTCTCTCCCTCTCTCTCTCCACGAAAACTCACTGGTCCGAAGACCGAGGCCAGTGAATTTTGATGTCGGGTCAGTGAAAATCAAAATTCAAGAAGTCCGATGGGCTTGTTGATTATAAAAATCAAACACAGTCAATATATATCTTAACTGACTTACTTGCATAAATTTCATTGATATATGATATAAAAAGAATAAGCACGTGTTGTTGAATGATATTATTGTAACCCTTATTATCATAACATGGATATATTACGTAACAACCGGAACTAGCCAGTAAATATTAACTAGTACGTAAAATGTGCATCAACGAACAACTAACAGAAACGCGACAAAGGACAAAAAATGGCGGCATTCAAAAGTTGAAGTATGTAAACATGTATAAATTTACAGTTATGAAAATGTATTTATTTTATTTTTTAATCAAGGGGCCAGTAAAAATTTTGGTGGGCCAGTAAATTTTGAAAGTTCACTGGTCCGACTGGCCAGTTAGTTTGAAAAGTTTTCGTGAAGACTGGACCCTTCAAGATTGGATATTTTGTGTTAAAACTTTCAAGAATTTTATTTCCATTTGAACAAGTTCAATGTCAGTATGAACATTCCATAATTTTCTTGATCCCCCAATGCATTTTAATACAAAGCTATCTCCATGTATTCTTTGCATGCTAATATGGATGCTTCAGACAAATGACTTTTTGGAATCCATGCAATCATAATAAAGCTGGAAAACAATTTCTTGGGTCAGACATGATGTAAACTTATCCAAATAAGGCAATCTGAAAACAAACCTAGATTGGCCCTGATTGCATTTACGTAACAAGACAGCTTATGGGTCGTCAATGTTTCCGATCCGGAGATCATATACATGGGTCGCCTGGTCTTAGCCTAGATAATTTTTATCTGAAGTTCCTGACAATTAGCCAGGCCTTGTCGCATTAGAGGCTCTCTGATTAGTCTCAGAATGAGGCAGAGGTGGAAACAGTTTGATAAATTGCGTACATTGTCAGGCTTCTTTTGTTTTTTTACCCTGACCCATTTACGTCTATATAAAGGATATTAAGTGAAGTCGTCATTGGCTTTGTTATGAATAATCAATCTTGTTTGATGAATTTCTGTTTGAATTGGGGTAATAATTATGCTTTGTGATGATGGATTGTGAGATGAAGTAATAGTACTAATTATCGCAGGGAGTGGTTTGTTTTTTGTGAGATTTTCATTACGTGTATGATAAATCCATGCAAGCTAAGGAAATGCATTCAGATAATTTCTTTTATGCGGAAAAAAAAATGTGTTTTACATCTTTTTATTTGATTAAATTTGAAAGTAGGCAGAGTCTTATAAACAATAATGACATCAATGTATTATTGCTTGAAAAGATCGATTAGTAAGATTACACTAAGATAGATAATTTGTAAATATACTGTTTTGGTCTAGGTGAACACTTTTGCAATGGCTTTTTAAAGGGGGTCTCTGTTCAAATTCTTTCAAAATTCTCTTCCTTGTACTTGTTTGTATGATTTGGTAAACTTTACAGCACAAAAAAAAAAAAAATTCATACTAGTGTTACAATAGTTACAAAACATTTCAGGTATATATTAAATGCTGCTCCCTTCTTTCTTTTTCAACAGACAAATAAAGTGATACTTTTAAGTTACTTTTATGATAGGAGACTTTTTGTAATGAAATTGATATCGCTGGTCATTTCCTTTCTATCTTGAAGGGTAAACCTCTGAGTGCTCTATGCTGGGGCCACAATGACCGCCGCCTGTTTGTGGCAGCAGGGTTTAACCTCCACGTGGCGTGGGTGATGAAGAAGGTGCCACCTTTACAGTTCCTCTGCCAGAGGGTCATACAGATTTGTATAAAGAGTGAGAAGTTGATAGGAAAACTACCTCTACCCATGAGACTTCATCATAGTGTTCAAACCATGTTCTCACCTACCATCAAGGTAATGTGGTAGTGTTCAATCCATGATGTCTGCGTTTACTGGCTGATAAATAGAGTCAGTTTTTTTTTTCACTAATTTGATATAAAAATTTTTTTTACTATTTTTTTTTCGAAGGAAACTGATTTTCTCCAGTAATTTCACATAATTCTCACAAGCAGGAATGCTGTTATAAAAGATATTTGCTTTAATAGAGAGTCGATCAGAATCTTTCCATCATCTGACATTTTCTCATTGTAAAAGTCTCGGAGTTCTCAAGATTTCAAAGGCCATACCAACATTTTCTCATAATAGAAAGTCTCTGGTTGCCAATTATTTTAACAGTGGAAGGCTCTTGATAAATGGTGTTGTGTTATGTAATGTTCAATAAATTTATTGTGTATGATTGCGCAAAGCCATGCAAGAATCAGTTTTCTTCCCATTTCTTAATAATATTGTGTTAAAGAATTCCTTAAAGGAATAAAAATGCACTGTTTGAAATCGGATCTATTGTGCTTTTAAGCTTTATTTATTGGTTCGATATCATTGAAGCTGGCACATGCAGCTAGTAATATATGTTGAAGTGGGAACAATCAGCATCAAATTTATGACAGTCTCATTTTTTTTTTTTATTTTCTCTCCGTATTTTGATATAATGAGCTATAGTAAATGATATGTTATATTGCTCTGAAATAGAGAGAAAAATTGATAACAAGTTCCCTTCAGCAGATAAAATCTGCCTTCCTGTCTGGAGACAAACTTGTTTGTACTTTTATTGAAATGTTTTCTTTATCTGATTCTATTATTGATTTTGTTGACGAGGACATGTAGCCAATTCTAATTAATATCAATTTGCCATTAATGTCTACAAGACAAGTGACAAAGATCAGAGCTAAGCTATATTGTTTTTTTTTTCTCTGACTTGTTTCAACCAAGGCCTCCGCTTTGAAGGAGGTCTGTCTGATATGTTTGTAATTTCTAGTCTATTGGCTCACTATACTGTTTATTGGTAATAATTTGATGGCTAATTGCTTTGAAAAATAATAAAATTAGGGGAAATGCACGTCAGTATTTTCCATCTTTGTACTTGTTAGACCCCTTCTGGTCCATTTTCAAAGAGTACAATATCAAAACTGGGAAAGAGCTGGGACAAACTGTAAAAAAAAAGTAATGACTTGGGGACATCCTGTAAGAACAGCACACATTAATACCTAAAGGTCACACATGAATGATCATAATATTAAGTTTACAGTAAAATGCCCTTACTGATTCAATAGATCCTTAAATTCTTATTTCTTTTTGTTTTCCTTTTACTTAGTACAATGATTTCAAAAATGCATTGTGATACTTTTTTTCAGAGCTACATCCCCGACCCGTTCAAGCTGCGTGAGTTCATCTGTTCCCCTCCCCCTGCCAGTGAGCGGCTGTTCTGTACCATGATCAGACACGGGGAGGAGACTTCGGGAGGGCACTATACAATGTACCTGGAGTACCTAGGGGGACTCATACCCTTACTGAAAGGGAAGCGGGCCAGCAAGCTCAGGCCTGATTTTGTCATCTATGATCCCAAGATAGGAGCAAAAGCGGGATATCATGAGTGTATTTTTTTATTTAATTAGCTCATCTGATCTGATGCTTTCAAGTTCATATTTTGATTTAAAATGCAATAAATTTTAGAATCAGGAGTTAGAAAATACAATAGATTATATAGCTTTGTATAAGTTCATGTTTTGATATTGATCATTGAAAAAAAACTCTTATCAATTAGACCAGAATACTCTGGAGTTTGACTTTGAAGCCAGCTTAACTGACTCGGATGAAGATATTCCTTCCGATGGTTGTGGCTCTCCCAGAATGCAGCGCAAAAAACGGCCCAAAATTTTCAGAGCGAAGAAAGTGGACAGATCTATCACCTTCCGTACACTTGATGAACTTTTGTACAATGACAGTCTTCCAGAGGTTAGTGGTTGAATATTTTAGATATCATTGAGAAATGTACTTGGCAACTGGAAACTCTTCATGAGGTTGCATTAGTACTAAAGGCTGTAAGGTTACATGCTAACTAAAAGTAATTTTGTTTAGCTAGGTGCATTCTCATGTTAAAGAACAATCTTGGACCTGCTTGGGTTGTTAGAGTAACCGGATTTTTTTCTGCAAGTCAGCAGTCAGCAAGTACATGTAAACCTGAGTCAGGAAGTAAAAACTTCTACTATTTTGTAGTGGATCTTTAACTTTTTAAAATTTTTGTTGAAAAGATTGTGTCAAATGTTTGTTAAAAAAGCTTTATCATTGTCAACAAATTAATTGTATTTTATGAAATACAAGGATTTCCTACCGAATGACTGCAAGTGATATGCCAATTTAAACTGTGAAGCAAGGACAATTTTTTTTTTCATTAAGTGCACTTTTTATATCAAATTACTTGTTTTGTTGTACAGACATTGTGTTTATCATATTATTTTGTTAAGGGATAAAAAGGGGTCATACACCACAACTATTATTAGATTTTGCTTTTATTGAGTATTTATACAAGCCAAATTGCAGAAGTCATATCATTTAACATAGCCGTGCATTATCCCTGTTTTAAGTTTGTGGTAGGCAATAATTCAATAAATGACCGATGTAACGAATAAAATTCTGAATTAAAATTCCCTAAAGGAATAAATTTCTTAGAGAGCAGTTAATGACCTATTGATCACATATGGATAATATATGCATAATTTCCCTATATATCATATTTAATATCAATTCCATCTGAAACGGCTGCCATGTTTTATTCATCATTTGGTTTAACTGTGGAGTCTTGCATATGGAGATAAGAGAGGCTTATATATGTGAAAATCTCCCCAGAGTAGTGGGAATGCACAACCCATCACAAACAGTCAAAAATATATTCATATTGCCTGTCTCTGACAAAACCTATAGGCATTGTCTTACTGTATTCTGATAAATCCTCATTTATAGGACATCAATGTTAGTTGGAGAAAAAATTGCTTCAAGCAATGACAGAAGCTTTGCTCTTTTTCTTCCTCTGTAATCATTTGAGGACTTCATAAAGATATATAAGAGCAATTCTGTGATGTACAGTCATGTTTTATGTTCGAGTTTGGGGTAGATTGAATTAAAGAGAAGTTTTTTCTCATTCATTTTACTAACAATTCCTCAGGGAACCGAAGTGAATCAATATCTTTCTAATTTGAAGACAGCTCATTGATTTAGATGAAAATACTTATCCATAAGAAATGAGGGAGTCCTATGCTTGGGTGCTATTATGATTGATTAATTACTGCACATATAAATTTGTCATTTACTTCAAATCATCTCTGACATTTATAGTGAAAAAAGGCATAAAATATCTTGAATCTTTGTAAATCAATAAAAACATTAGTTTCTGGGCCATTAATCAAACATTTTTCCTAACTTATTTTACAATATTTTCCAAGAAAATCACAATTCCAGCTAATTCTATCAAAGGAGAAAATAGGCTGGTAGTTCATTTCTGTTGGAGGAAATGAGTTCTGATTCACAATCCATTTCTCAAAAATGTCAGCTATATTGCTTTTTTTTTTTATTATAACAAGTTACAAATGCAATAGCAATAATTAGTATCATGATAGCTGATCATATTTGTATTTTGTAGGTAGGTGTGTATTATTAAGTAGAAATTATTTTTCCTGATTTTAATAAACAGTGTCACATTTTTTTTGATAAAATACGAGAAGATAATATTTTGGAAATTAGCCCATACTTTGTATTTTTTTCAGGATTATTTTTACTTGTTCTGTTATATACCAAGTACACAAATCTCAAAATGTCCAAAAATATAATTGCTTGAAATAATATTTCCTGGAATTTTAATTCACATGTACCTCCAAGTATATTTTCCATAAACTACATCTGTCAGACTAAATTTTTATATATTGCATTAAAATCTGTTCATTTTGCCAAATGATACCCTTCAGCTCAGTTACATGTATACATTCTGATTTGATTATTGATTACATTCCAGGATTTTTAATCTATAAAAGTATATAAACAAAAACATTTATTACATTTATTTTGCATTCCAGATTCTTATTACTTGAGAAAAGTCTGATTATCTTTTTTCACAGAGTAATAAACTAGTGGAAGTGACCTCGAATATCTGGGGGACCAAGTTTAAGCTGACCGGCCTGGCCCCGTTCCTTCCCGAGGATCTGGGAAATGTCCTGTATAAAACTAGTCTCCTGCACCTCCAGCCCAGACAGATGACCATCACTATAACAGCCCTCAGCACAGTGAACCAACCCTTGTCCAGGGATCCTAACTTTACCCCTGCCGGCCAGTGTGATGAGGAGTGGGATAGCAGATCATGTAAGTATGGAGTTTGTCTACTACTAAACCATTGGGGGGAGATCTTATCCATGATTGGTCAGATTTAACTTATAATATGATATCAATTTTTTTGGTCTGAACATAGAATTTGTTCAATGCATAGTTGAATAAAGGGATTGTGGAGAATTTACTAGCAGACCTATTTTTTTGTATTCATACGATTCAGCAGAATTTGTCCAAAGTCTTATTTGTGAAAAGAAGAAAACACATGCTGTGGCCTTCAACTCGACTTTTAGATATATCAACGACATATAGTCAATTAAGAATGGTTATTTCCATTCTTATTTTGAATACGATATATCCTGGTGAGCTTGAAATGAAAGGTACCACAGAGTCTGACACATCTGTGTCATATATAGGTATTTCACTTGAAAAAGACTTTAATGGTAATCTAACAACCAAGCCTTATGACAAATGATGACTTAAATTGACTTTAATATAATCTTTTCAATTGCCAATTTCCCTTACTTATGCAGCAATGTACCTTCTTCACCTGCATACAGGTTTTATATTTCTCAGTTGATGCAATACACAAAAGCATGCTCTATATATGAACAATAATTTTAAAAATGGGGTAAGTCATTAACAAACATGTTGCTGAAAAAAGAATATCAGCAGTTTCATTTGAAGTCATCATTCCATAAGTTGTATGGTCGATACAATGTCAGCAAACACAGTTTATCATTGAGTCAAATGCTGACTGAAATTTTTCAAACTAAATGTAAGGTCATCAAATACTCACTGAATTGCACACATGGCCAATGTGACTGATCAGCAGGAGATGCTCTCTCCTTTATGGCACCTGATCCTGTTTCTGATCTTTTAGAGGTCCATGTTTGCTTTGCTCCTATCTTTTATTATATACCTTACGTGTATCACTAAATTTTTGAAATTAAATTACTTTAGAAAATAACTTGGAGGTAAAGTCATACCATTTGTGACGTCGTGATCCGACTTTCCGGATCACCACACTGTGGTTTTCTGAATCCATATCACCACTCTCTGAAACTGATGACGTAGTATGCAGAAAAATGACGTTATTGTTCTTGCGAGTCCCTTGTTATTATGCTTTTTTTAATGGATTAATATTATACAATTGATCTCTAAAGGTTTATTTTATTATATTTAGCCAGTTATAAGGGGGTATATAATAAATTTATCATTATAACAGATAAAAAAAACTTTGCATTATTTATTTTCCGTAAAACAAATTCATTATTTTGTGAGAGCCAGAATCTATGGATACCAATTGTAGTGATGAAAAAGCACATCCTGTGATCATAGCACAGAGAAAAAGTAAAAGTTTAAGGTATAAATGGACAAGTCTTATCAGATCATAAAACTCGACGCTTCGCGTCTCGTTAGATCAATCTATTCACCAGATGATCTGCGCCTGTCAAGATTTCCCTCTCTCGAAGACTGAAATATCAGTGTACGACCCTTCGGATCAAGTTACTGTTATAATAATATAAATGTATTGTTTTATGGACTTTTGAGTTTGAATACTGTTTGTTATCTCGGAGTCCATATAAATATATTTCATTGGAAAAGTTAAAAAAGGTTTTGAAATTGCAGGATTTTTCTTGGAGGTGAATAAATGTATTTAAGTGTGTTGAACTTGTGCACACAGAAATTAAATTACTTTAGAAAATAACTTGGAGGTAAAGTCATAAAACTTGTGTATACTATTTGTAGAGGAATGGATGAAATTAACTGTGTTGAACATGTACAGTAATTTCATTACTGTTAAAACAAGCACACTTGCAATGAATTGGTGTTTCTTTCAGTGAAGGTGATGGATGGAAGACACCAATTTTGAACCAAATCTAATTATAAATGTTACACTGTTCTTTATACACATACAAAATAAAGAATTATCTGCAAGTTGTCTTAAAATTCCACTTATAACTTTGGATATCGTCTTACCAATTGCACTTGTTAGTTTTTGGATTTTATTGAAATAAAATCTTTTATTTGAAGGATATTGTTTGCAGAGTTATGATATTTCATTCAGATTGAGTGGTCAATTGAGGATTAATACCACACTGATAGTTCCATTGCCATAGCAAAAATTAAAAATCTTCTTTGGTATTATCAAATATCAATTTGTGCGCTAGAATAAACCATTTTATAAATTCCCTTGGTATTGACCAGAAGTGCATAATATAATAGGTGATAAAAAAACCCACTTTGCATTATTTATTTTGAGACCCTTTGGGGCTACTTTGTAAAACAAATTCATTATTTTGTGATGGATTTTGACCAGAATCTATGGATACCAATTGTAGTGATGAAAAAGCACATCCTGTGATCATAGCACAGAGAAAAAGTAAAAGTTTAAGGTATAAATGGACAAGTCTTATTCAGAAGAATTTTAAGATAGAAAAATCTTACCATAAATCACAATACTGATGGCTGTCAGACTGGGATGAGGATCATGAATATTCATTTCTGTTTGGATGAATTGCACAATCTATTTCAGTCTTTTACATTCTCAATTCACCAGACTCTAATTTGGTCATCCAAGGTCACAATTGTTCAAGATTTCCCTCTCTCTGAAGACTGAAATATCAGTGTACTACTCCTGGCATGGTACAATGATTTATATCAGAGGTGCAATGATTAGTTGTGTTTTGTAAAACCTAAGAACTAAAATGAGAGGAAATATACATGTAATTTTTCAACTCCAAACTACCAACTGTTGAATCTCTGTATTTATAAGCACTTTGCTACTTTATTTTAAAAAGGAAAATTTAAAAAAAGTATATATGTAAATTCAGAGTTTAAGTACATGTATATTTGTTTGAATTGACATTTTATTCATGAATTTTTTTGTTGCTTCAGGAGAATGAAATTGTAAAGCAGGAACTATAGATCTACAATCTGGTTTTTGCTGTTTACATGCCTATATACATTTTGTGCATATAATGTCTTGTTAACTGTACAATAGAAAGAAATATATAATCAAGGCCAAAATAAAGTTCAGTACAAAAGTTCATCCCAGTTAATACAAGGTCATGTAACCAGGTAACAAAGAACTTTATTTTTGTGGAAGTGGCTTTTCACTGATACAATCTCCTCTTTCTTTTTCGTTACTTTTTAACCAGTGAATGTCTGTAAAAATATATTATATATTTGTCAATATAATATTTGTATTCAGCTGCTAGCTTATAAATAAAACATTTTTTAATCTTTTCCAAGATTTTTTAAAAATAAATTTTAGATTAAATATTCATTTACATTGATTAAAATTTGGTTTATGCAACTGTTGTGTTATTTCATAAGTGAGCACATCCTATAGTAATTCCAATGTGGATAATGCATTGATTTCATATAGATTATTATTCAGTTTTTAATTTTTTAGATGATGATTTCTCTGTTGATCCAGATGACATTGGATTTGAAGATGGAATGCTTGTGTCAGAAACATGTAATGGTGATAATGCTAATCAACTTACAAGTCATGTTTTCATGGATATAAAACTATCCTCAAACTCAACTAATCAAAATGATGAAAAGGTATTGTGTGATATCAGTGGGAATATAAGTAGTAATTATAATGTATTAAATGGGGAAAGACTTCATTGGTCTCCAAATATGAAAAACAGGACCCTTTCTCCTGCCTCTGAATCTGTTGCTCAAAACAATGCCTTCAACACTTTGGACAATTCACTTATCAAGGACAAGCTCATAGGTCAAGGTGCAATTCCAAAGGTTAGGAGTGTTGCTCAAAATGGCAGCCAATCAGAAGTGACTGGGGGAACACCTAATGGGGAGACTTTGATTCAAACAAATAATTCATCCTCAATGAGGACTAGTTTACATAATGAAGTGACAAATATAATGAAAGATGGGGATGAGAATCGTTGGGCAGATTTGGCGAATCCTGGCATCAAATTCATAGATGACGAGGGATTAAACAATCGAGCCTCTGAAAATTCAGACAATATGGCAGGAATAATATGTGATTCTAGTCAATTGACTCCAACCTTCTCTGATAACCAGAAAAGATTGTATTTAGAAACCCTAACGAATGTGGACTCTGATGCAATTATCTGTGATCACAGTCCAGAGCCTTCAGAAATTGGAGAGGAATCAAACACGATGTTGGGGTCTTTAGAAGATGTGCATAAAGACACGTGTAAAAGTAACAGTGTATTCTCAGGTGCTTCATGTTCCATGTTTCATTACGATGATGAAGTGGTGGATCCTGCTTCTTTCACTCGCAAAACTTCCAGCTTAGAAATCTGTCATAGTGCCTCTCTGCCAAACTCTCCCCTGCACAGGGCTGCTGATTCTCCCATGAGAGATATAAGAGAAGAAATCCTCCAGGGCACCTGCAAGCACTATAGTCCTATATTTAAACGGAAATCCAGACATTTCAATCCAAGAAGTTACCAACATAAGGAAAATGATCAGGCCTTTGAGGATATTAAGTACTCCCAAAGTTTCAAGAATTTGGAGACCTTCCAGAAAACACAGCTTAAACAGAAGGTATTAGTATAACTTCATCATGGAATAAAGAAATCAATGTAGTTTTCTTAAACCAAAGAATGATAACTCAGATTGCAAGTCTTCAGTGTAGTTTAAGTTCTTTACAGTAACTTCAAAGTTAAGCCTTAAGCCTGTAGTGATAAAGTGATAAACTTGTACAATGAAGATGGTCATTTTGAATACAATAAAAGTTAGAAATGATAGGAATGAAAACTGTTGCCTTTTTATGTGTATTAGCTTCAGAAGGTACGGAAAAGAAGTGAGGACAGGGGAAGGTCAAGATATCCACACCTTGGGTATCGCCAGTTTGTCATGCATAATAAGGCTCCTCTGTGGAATGAGAACAGTCAGGTCTATCAGCTGGACTTTGGAGGGCGGGTCAGTCAGGAGTCTGCCAAAAATTTCCAAATCGAGTTCCGAAGTCGTCAGGTTTGCATTTTAGTCAGCTGTTTTGCTTCTTCTTTTTTCTTCTTTGATTGTATTTTGATTTTAAAAAAATTGATTTAAAGTTTAATTAAGAAAACATAACAGTATCCAAGCAATGTTATGTATGTAAATGCATTCGTAAGTCTAATGACTCAGATATGATTTATTGTATTGCTAATATTTACTGGAATTAACATTGTTTATATGTACACTAAAGTGAGTCATCTGTAATTAAGCTTTTTGTTTCTGTTTTTCAAGTTGGTAAAAAGTACTAAAACTCTTTAAGAAGAATGAATTAAGTCTGTTTGTAGCATGACTAGCATCCCTGGTTTAATTTTGAATCCTTGTACATGAAAATAAAAAAAATAATGCTCTTGTTGTTCGGAAAAATCGTAAGTTATGTCAATATTCGTAATATTATTTTCTTGGAAAAAAAAAACAAATGTAAATTTAAAACAGTTTTTTTTTGATTGATTGATTGTGTATTGTTTTAAGTTCCATTCCAGAATATTTCTCTCATATAGAGACGTCACCTTCACTAGTGAAGGGCTTCGAATCTTGACATTAAGTAGTACTTTCAGCCATTGAGCATTAAGGGTTCTTTATCATACCAACATCTGCTGTGACATGGGGCCTTGGTTTTTAAGTTCTCATCCGAAAGACCCGAAACTTTTACTTTAAGGTCAATGGAACAGTTGCACGTTTTTTTATCAACTTAGTCGTAGCCGTGATTCGAATTCAAGACCTTCTGAACACGGAGCGAGAGCTCTACGGAAAATGAAATCAATTAATTTCTTGTATAAAAATTCACCATGTTATTTAAAGGATATCATGTTTCTTAATTTTAAAATCAGCAAGGTTTGTAATCTTGAAGCACATCTACCAACTTTGTAACTTAGAGAAACATAGCGGAATTTTCTATACGTTTTCTAAACGTTTTCCCACCGTCTGGCCCTAAACCCATTCATTAAAATTCTTTTCAACATCTTAAAATAAATTAGTTTTCAATTTTTCAACAAAATGAGCATAATATTATTTGTCAATGTTAAAATATTTCTATGCTTCCAGAAGATTATCAAGCTTAGTTGGTTAAGTACTAAAATTTGACCTTTACGATCCGAAATGTGCTTTTTTTTATATACAGAAATAGTCGCAATATTTTTTGTTGTTTAACGCCCATCTCGAAAATTTTTTACTTGCCGATGGAGAGCTTAAAATTTTGTATTAGACCAGGCATTTATGGGACCATTGAGCAGTGAGGGTTCTTTTCTATTTAGTTGTGCTGTTGCATTTTCTCAAGAAAATTTTTCGTAAATTACCCTGGAAGGAAATTTAAAGTTAACATCAGCCCATAGGCTGAATCCACGCAAAGTTATTTTCATTAAATGCAACTGTTTCCAAAAAATAAAATAAAGGAGTTGTAAAGAATGAGACAGGCGAGGACGATCCCCCGCTCTGAGAAAAGATTTCTCAATTCTAAAAGTTATATTTTGCAAAATTATATTGTTTATATCATCTTTTACACATTTAATTCTGTATTTCATTGTTTTAATATTTTATTAATAATTTATTTTTCACTTATGTTTTTAAGATATGTGAAAACAAAAAAGAAAAAGCTTCACGTATTATTCGAACTCTCTCCATAGCGTAGGGTTTGGTCCAAAACCGACTGCTTTAACCACTACGCTACCAAGTATATATGCATTATCGACGTCTGCCAGTGTGATTTAAAGATATATATGCCGTATTAGTGTTTTATTGCTAAAGAAATAAATATATGTGGTGTCTCCTCAAGTTACATAAGTTATGTAATTTCTGCAATTAAGACAATTCCACTCCATCACTTTTAAAAGTTATGAAATATTATCTTGTAAAAATTATTTTCTCGAGGAATCGGATATTAAACCGCCTCTTATTGAAATATTCATGAACACGTGGTAAACCTATTTTCACAGCAAACATGCTTAACTGTGAAACTTTGAAAAAAGATTATCAAATAATACGCTTTCACTACAAACACGTGGGTTTGGGAATTGTACGGTGCGAGTTCAATTGACGGCTGGAAAGCGAATTTACATTTTTTTAAAACCTGTTTTAGAAAAATAGGAAGAATAGTTACTAATTGAGAATCCCTATGCTCATATTGACAAACAAATGCAGTCTTTCTTGTTAGCATACTGTATGTTTCGAAGTTGTACACATTGTAAACATTGTCAATACGTGAGCACACCTCAGAGTTAGTTGCTTTTTGTCACACAAATATATAGTCACGTGAAATTGTCTTTTTACTGTCAGTAGAGCACGGGGAAATTGTATACAAACGGACCTGTACAATAAAGTAAATTTCAAAATTTTTATCATTGTTCATTTGTATGCAAATGTTAGCATGGGATTTGTAGATGATAATGTCACACATAATAATTAAGCGTGTGAACTTGGGAAATGTACCACGTCTTTCTGAGAGCGATTTAAAAAAAACTAGCCTGTTCGAAAAACACATGAAGTATTTATGTACTGAGTAGTAACCCATAAATGCAATAAATAGAACTCATTGAGCTGATTGGTCGATTTTAAAGCTTGTTGGTTCCTTGCCTACAGACGTCACAAAAAATAGTTTCCTCGACCTGATGATTCTCATGATGCTTTTCCCGCGCACATGCGCAGATCCAACATAAACGTCAGTCCTTTATATTACTGTTTTACAAACAGCGTGACAGTTTGTTAGATGGGGCGTGCTAAAATTTTGTGACCTAAAAATTTCATCTCAGTGATTGAATGCTTTATTTCAATGGTATCAATACTAATTTGCATATGAAACTTTTCAGAATACAACATATATCCTGAGAATACTGGCCAATCACATTGAATGATTGTTCACCAGTTTGGCATTTGTACTCACCAGCAATCCAAGTACGTGGAAAATGTCAAAGCCCGAAAAATTCATCTGTGTCAATATTTAAACATTTCCTTAATATTATCAAAAAAAGCATGTATTATATTTGTTATGATTTGACCGGATGGTTTTATATACGTACAAGAAAATTCAAAAAATAGAATAAGTAAGGCTACTCTGCTGCTGTTGTACTATGCAGCTATCAATATCATCATTGGAGGTTGTAAAACTTTCTTTGTCCGTCCAAGTGTAACTGTTGTTTACTGCATGCTAGTAAACATGTGATTCAATACGATTGGTCAGTATTGTCAGTGGTATTGCTGGGTTCTCTGTTTCATATGCAAATTATTTTTGATTCCATTGAAATCAAACATCCAATCGATGCGTAAAATGATAATCAGCCTACAAAAGTTTAGCACGCCCTATAAAGCAAACTGTCACGCTGTTTGTAAAACAATAATAAATATGCATGAGAATATCGTGTTCTTTTCCCGACCAGTACTTTGTTAATACCGAATAATATTTCGTCGAATTTGAGAGAATGCTTCATTTTTGATAGCTTATCATACTTCAGAAATTTTTGTTTGGTTTCAGCTATGCAAAAATACGGCATACATATCTTTAAATGAACGGTTTTGTTGAAGCGTAAATTTTTTCCAGAAATTTTCGATTTTCATATAGAATTGGTTCATATTTCATTTTTTGGACGAATGAAATAGATTCCACATTTACGTCTCCATCATATAAGCGTTAACGAGGAATGGAGACTAGACCCATTCTTGTTCAAAATTTATAGCTCTAGTAAACCTATTTTCCACTAAACATGCTTAACTGTCAACTTTGAAATAAAGATTATCAAATAATAATTCGTTCAGTAGAATAAAACGATTAAATGTTTTGAAGATGACGTTACTGAGAAGATGATTTAGATTTTAGAAAAATATAACTATGAATTTTGAAAATTGAGAAACATTTTGTCTCAGAGCGGGGGATTGTCCACGCCTTATACGCCCTCTTTCTTCAAGCATGATCAAAGGTCCAATGCCAAAAATCTTTTACGAACCATTCAGATAAACAAAGTAATTTAAATTAATTTTTTATAGTGCAGTGTACAGCTCAACGCACTTTTTTAACTCGCATGATTTTTCACACAAATTAAGGTCACATTGTTATAATACCGGTACAAAATAATATAAAACATGACAACAAAGTATATTTCAAAAGTGATTTATATCTGATTTTTTAATCTTATTTCATTACTTTAATTATAATTCACTCATATTAATTGGTAGGATTTTTATTTGCTCTTGGATGATAGATTATGGCAGTTCCTAAATGGTTTTTTCATGGTTTCTCGTCAAATGCAGCCTTCTTGGTATACGTTCATTTTAAAGCATATCTTTGCCTTGCCTAAATACAGAAACAACTGTATTTTCTGTACATTAAGACGATACTAAGGCGCAAGATGGTTGAAGTATTTCTCACCTGTTCGACTACTTTCCATGTTAAAAACATGACAATTTTTCAGGTTTACTTTATGAAATCTAGCATCATAAAAATACCATCCAATTGAAAGCAAAATTTTAAAGTTTCAGATCATAAATGTAAATGAATTGTCTTTTCAATAATAACAGATATACGATACTCTATTATCCTATCCTTTGACATGATTTCTTTATGCAGTTTTGTCATTTTTCGGCGCTGCATTTCGACAAATCCAAGACAAGTACGGAAAATGTGCAAAGTACTTAGAAAAATACTCATCTGTAAGAAGTCAATTTAAACATTTCAACTTAATATTATCAAGGAAAGCTCAATTAATTAATCTGTGATTACCTATGGTTGACTTATCAAATGTAACATCATGCAATTTATAAACAACCCCCCTTTTAAAACATCGAGTTTTAAAACTTAAGATAATGATTGAGAGAATATGCACCTTTAACATGAAATATTTAATTCTATAAGGTTCATGTCTCGTACTGAAACTCGATCATTTGAAGTATTATTGCAAGAAAAATGTGACCTTAATTTGTGCGAAAAACCATGTGAGTTTAAAAAGTGCGTTTAGCTGTATATTTTTTAAACGTTGCTTGATAATTGCAACTAATGTGATTAATTATACTATGCTTTAGATAGAATTTAATACAATATCCAACGAAAGAAGTTTTAAGTTTATTTTCTGCAGGATATTGATATGGTTGGTTCCTATTACAAATTCCTCTTCCCACGATTTTTACAGATATGGCACTAAAATTCAATTGAAGAAAATAATTATCTTAAAATGAAAACCCGTGTGAACTTGCCAAACATTTGGTGGAAACACCCGATCGAAATATTCCCCTTGGTACGAAGTGCACACTGAAAAATGGTTCAATCGCACTTATATTTTGTCAGGGGATGCATTACTCATGATCACTCTGTCTTATATATTTAAAGCAATCTGTTCAGGTCAGATGGAATTGATTGATCTATACCTGTATTATAGACCAAAGTAGCCAAGTCACAGTGCATTAGGAGATTTTGGAAAACGATGGGGGAATTAAGTATTGTCTTGAGTACTTTTTCGCTGACATTTTATATTTGTAAAGGTACATGAGATCATAACAACCGGATGTTGTGTTATTATTTTCTGCTGCTATATTCTTGTCGGCCGACCATAGGACTCTTTTCAATGGGATGAGTAATTCTTTTTAAACACTGGGATAGGTAGGGGACATTATGAATGAGTAAATCAGTTGTAATGTAGATATGCAGTTTAAACTTCAAGGCCAATTGATGGAATGCGGATAACACATGCAATAATAAACCCCGCGTTGAATGTATTTGGGTTATCAAATTGTAAATATCGCAACCCAAGATTTTTGTCTTTTTTTTCAAATGACATAAAAATCATTATTCTCACTTAAGTTTAGTCATAATGTTTGTGAATATTTTCATTGCATTTAGCTTTGAACAACTTGTTTCAATAAAAATTAAAAAGTATTTAAAATTACTGAAAATTTAAGTATGCTATCAGCTAAACATTAAGGATGTTAATGCTAACACTTAACATAGCTATAGTCCATGCTTATTCATATCACACGATGGTATTTGATCTATTTTTTTTAACGTTTTGTGTTTCCTCAACATTTGAAGAAAGTTGCAGGTGTGTGAATAATTAATTTATCTTTCAGGTGATGCAGTTCGGTAGGATTGGTAGTAATGCTTACACTTTGGATTTCCAGTATCCCTTTACTGCACTCCAAGCTTTTGCCGTGGCGCTAGCTAATGTGACTCAGCGACTAAAATAGGAATCCGACCTTAAAAACCCTAACAGACAGCAGGGTAGGAATTAACGGGGTGTCCTTTTCCCACGACAGAAAAGGCTCCCGATTTCTATAGATTTGAATGCAGATAAAAAATGTCCCTGTAATATTCATGAATATATTTTAAATATATCTGTACTGTTGTATTTTTGGAGCTGTGGAAATAAAAATGAATCACAGTTATAAACATTTTACTCGTCTTTCAGTTATTTCAGCTGACTGCAAATTATTGTTTGTATACCTCATGCTTTTTATCTCTTACTAAGCAATTTGATCTCATTGCTTTAATGGTCATTATTAAGTCATAATTAAAATCTAACAGCAAATTGTTCGAATTAAGTTTAGAATGCCTTATTATATATATTCTGTCTTTATTTATTTCTCCACTTTAACTTTGCACCAAATGTACATTAAATTTCTTTGTACATGATGAAAATTATATGTAACTTGTACATTTATAAATAAACCTAATTTCTAAGAACAGCAGAACTTTAAGCACTGTCTCAATAACCATTTTTCATCCTTTGTAACAGTGATGAAAATGTTTTTTTTTTAAGTTAAAAAAAATTTCATTATAATATAAAACATTATTTTAACGATTTTGAGAAATAAATCATCATGAAAACACATAAGATTTGTTTTTGTATATTTGCACTTACGATGCCTATATTACAATTTAGAAAAAGAGAAATTGGTGCGGAATTGCTGGTTCATGTTTTTTTAATTTTCTTTCGCGGGATAGCTTACTTTACGTACAAAGTGCAAGTCATGCATTTCATTTGCGATAGGAAAAAAGGTCTATGATCTTGTCTGCAGTGACTCAATAGATCATACAGGATAGAGTTATATGCGCAGTGAATAACTCGTACATTCTGATAAATGAAAAGAAATATTTTGGTAACCGTCATACTGCAGACATTTTTTATTGCAATTAAGGACAGATGATACAAAAAAAAAAAGGATGCCTGGATTGGTATATAATTTTTGGTCTTCTTTCATTGAAAATGATGTAAAAAATACATTTCTATAAAGAATTTGTAAACCTTCTATGATGTTCAAAATTATACCTCTTTGAAACCATTCTTATTAATCTATACAAATATTTTTCAGTTCAAATCCCATTTTTCAGAATTCAAAAACTACGAGGTTAAACTTATTTATTTTACTCATTAAAGCTGAACACGATTCGTAAAAGAAACATGTCCGCAATTTTTGCTCCCGATTCTCGCCACTCTGCAGACCCGTATATAAAGGGCAAAACTTCGTCACTGTTCAGTGTAATCAGTTGACACCGGTTGACGGACGTATGCCACACAGCACTCGGTAGCGAAAATAAAAACGTAATACTTCACCTAATGCAGGAAAGTAAGATGCCAAAGAAACTTACAATTATAATTGTACAGGTCAGTGCAGTATACAAACAACACAGATACACATAACTGCAATAAAATGTAAACTAAGGTAATGCAAGATAGCCAGCACAAACACGGGTCGCCATTCCACGCCGATACCCGTGACAATAAAGCAGTCAGGTTTGAAGAATGCGACGAGTATACCATAGTGTTGAAGTATCGTATATAATGATATCAAAAATGGCGTATGCCTATTTACGAGTCGTGTTCAGCTTTAAAACATGACTCAAGTTGTTATTTCAATTTTTTTGACAAAAGTTTCAAGATATGTCGTCGAAAGAAACTAAGTAAACAAATTAAGAAACAAGCTTTAAGCAATTCTGCACCAACATTCCTTTTTCAAAAGCGCACTATAGGATTTTGACTGGTACCCTGACATTGGTTAACGGGCGCAAGCGCCAATTGCGAACTCAACAACTGTTGAGTTCGCGAAACATCCGAAGAGTTCCGATTGGCAAGCGCCCTGAAAAACCAACTTGTAATTCCTAGCGGCAGCGACTGGAATCAAGGGCAGAGAACCAGTGCTACATAGGAATATGCAGACAATTTTATATTGCAGTTAATAGGATACTAGTATCTTATATAACAAGTTCGTTTGACATTTGAATGGAATTTACTGATTTCAGTATGACTTGGCACACAAGTAGACTACAACAAGATACATAATTTTGCTTATCGGCTCTTGATTTCGATGAACAGTGGTGTCATGGTTACTAAAAATAGAAATTTCTTTGAAATATTTTCAAAATGCTACCCCTCCTACAGTTTTGGTCTGATTTCAAGAAATATTGGCACACAAGTAGTGTTCACTAAGATACATAATTTTGGTTATCGGCTCTTGATTTCGATGAACAGTGGTGTCATGGTTACTTATAGAAATTTCTTTAAAATATTTTCAAAATGGTACTCCTCCTACAGTTTGGTCTGTTTTCAGTATAACGTTGCACACAAATAGACTAATATTATATATGTAATTCTTTTATATCTTTTTTGATTTCAATGATCGGTGTTGCAATGGTTACTAAAAATAGAAATAGTTTTGAAATAATTTCATAATGTTTATCCTCCTAAAGTTTTGGTCAGATTTCAACAAATCTTACTAAAATGACTAAAGAAATCATCAATTTTTTATTTATTTCTGTTGCAAAGTTTCATGTTCAAGTGCTTCTTTTTCTTCGTTAAACCTGGAGAGCTACATTCTCGTCAGAGACTCATGGATTTTGAAATTTGAGGTCCATCCCTTTTTGCTTTCTTCACTTTTTACATCAAACCAAATGTAGAAAGAAATATTTACCCCAGTGTCAAAATCAAGAATAGTGAATCATCGTTTGAACGTCATAAACATAAATATATTTATCTATCTATTTACTGGCTATGAGGACATCGGGAAATAAATATATATATCAGTAAATAGGTGTTTTATTATACCGATGCTGGCCTAACTTTTGTTAACTTTTTGGAGTCCAGGGTACACACAATTTTGATATTCCATATTATACCGATACTGACTTAACTTTTTGTTACGTCATAATACATACACGTCACAATCCGTATAAAACCAGAAGTTTTCCTAGATGAAAAGCGAGGGAAACAGAATGCTGCCGGTGAATAGTTTGATGACTATTTCACCAATGCACAAAAACTATTTCACAGTAGGGGCTGTTTAAATATGTTTATTCGTCATGTTTTTATATTGAACAAATTCACAGAGGTATAATAAATATATATATATCTAAATAAATATACCAGCAGACCTATTAGAAAATGTCTGCATATAATGCATGTTATATATATGTTTTTCATAACATTGCGAGAACTCGCGATCAAGCCTTGTCAAATAATGTTTACTCAAAGTTATGTATATGTAATAAGTTTGATGAGTGCTGCATGAAATAGTTAATTAAGTCCTAATTTATGTAAATTTAAATTATTGATTCAAGAAACATAGCACACTTAATTTATTTTTATGTACATGTAGTTAGAATTATCTGCCCTTTGATCTAGAATCATATCTATATTGAAAGTAACAACAATGGTAATGGTTAACCAACTTTAATTTTGTATTTTCTTTTAATATTTTTAAATTAAGTAAATGACAGTGACCTCATTTGAAGCATTAAATATTTTGTGGTGTATAAAGGATCCTCATAAGAAATACATTTCCGCTCGGTAAGATTGGGGTTGGGGTATATTAGCTTAAAATTTGTTGCGACTTATCGCTTATGACATGAAAACCTAGCATTAAACATGAAGCTCAATTTTTAAATAATAATTTATACAAATCTGAATAAGAGGATTGGTCTTAAACGGAAACAGCCTAATTCCCGCCCAGACAGTAGGAAAAGAACTCTGAGGTGTTGAAAGTATCGAACATCTGTTTGGCGTCCCAAAATTCCATGGAAAGTCTATAAAGAACATGTTGGCACTCGGTATCTGACCTTTTTAGACCTAATTCCGTGATATTCTGGGACGCCTCTATACTACTTGCATTGCTTCGGAACACTTCTATTACTAGTGCAAACCGGCAGGCAATAAATAGGAGTGTAAGCTAAACCTCACCCAAAACGGGTAGGAAAAGTGTAGATATTGAAAACCTGAGGGCATTGAACCCTGGATTCAAAGATAATTGTCAAACCTGGTGTCTTTCTTACTCAATGTATACAGAAATATGATATTTCCAAAAAGTGCTAAGTTCAGCCATTTTTATTTCAATGAATGTATTTAAATACACACAAGCAATGCACAAAATACACCATCCTAAAAACGTGTGACCTTGATCTGTGTGAGAATTAAAGAGGGAAATTATCTTCTACGTTTTATTTGACTTGTAAATCTTTGTTGAGTGTGCTCCATGGTTAAAAAAAATACTTTAGATTTAGGTCTTATTAATTGTTTTTTTTTTATTTTAAAGTTTAATTTCGAGGAACTCAATAAGTCATTATGACAAAATTCATTTTCTCTCGGGAGTTCAAAAGAAGAAATCAAATTCTGTACTACATTTATTTTTTTTTTCACAAAAAATAAAAAATAAAAGTACATGACTGATGTTTATATATATATATATATATATATATATTTATCTCATACGTGTTGGTGATACAGGCCGTTGGATACTTATGCTTTATCAACGGGTAGATGCTTTATCAATAGCACTTCCGGTTTTGACACGAACCCTCGCTTCAAGATTTTATTTTATTGAAACTTTTATTTGTGAAAATTGTTGCCCTTATAAAATGAATGATAAAGGGTAGCAATATCGTTAAAAGCAAGATGTCAAAGAAGTGTCTTATTTTATCAAGGAACCCGTTGGCTATTTGAAGACAGATGTTAACCCCCCCCCCCCCCTCTTAGATCGTTTTCGGAGAAAGTAAAGCCTACATGTACCAGTTAAGTTGTTGTTATAAGACTCCTTTGACATCTTTAACAATGCTTTCTTATATTATACTACGTATGCCTACCTAGTAATGCAGGTGTAACTTACCATGGATCAGCAAACAATCTAGACAAAGTCTAGGCCCCTAGCCTTGCCTAGCACGATTTGTACTGCCATCGTAAAAAGAGTTGATTTTCACGATCCCCATAGTCCTAACAACTAACAACTTTCAGTCAGAAGTTCGTTTGATGTAAGACTCCAGCAATTTTCACATGATGTTTTCAAAGACACAGATAGCAAATATTCTAAATTTTGAACTCGATCTACTTTCTCTCGACGCATGTAAACATCAACAGTGCTACGTCATCAAGTTATACGTCATCAATTTGATTTTGGCAGTAGTTTCGCAGGGGAAGTCTCAAAGTTTTGTTAAAACGAAAGTCGTATGAGATAAATAGAACATCTATAATTGTGTGATTTGATATTGACTTTATCCACCTTATTGAAATGGTGAATATTCGCTTGGCAAGCTTTGCGAATATATACACCATTTCAACTCGTTGGATAAAGACAATATCAAATCATACACAATATAGATATCCTCTATATATATATATATATATATATATATATATATATATATATATATATATATATATATATATATATATATATATATATATATATAATATATGTATGTATGTATGTATGTATATATATATATATATATATATATATATATATATATATATATATATATATATATATATATATATATATATATATATATATATATATATATATATATATATATATATATATATATATATATATATATATATATATATATATATTGCATAGCTTATTAAAGGTTTCAAGTTGATCATTTTTTTAATGGCTTGAATAGACTTCAAATCAGGAATTGTCTTCAGCTTGACTTGCTGATTGAAATATATATGTTGTTTTTGGAGACCAGGTCTTCCAACAATCTATTGGAAATCCCATTGGCACCAATTGCGCCCTATCTATTTTTGTATTCATATCAAGCAGAATTTGTGGAAAATCTAATGCGTGAAAAGAAGAAAACACTCTGGCCTTCACCTCGAAATTTAGATTTATCGACGACGTACTGTCAATTAACAGTGGTAATTTCCATTCGTCGATACGATATACATGTATCCTGGTGAGCTTGAGATAAAAGATACGATAGAGTCTGACACATCTGTTTCATATTTAGATATTTATGTGGAAAAATACGTTAATGGTAATCTAACAACCAAGCTCTGTGATAAACGTGATGACTTTAACTATTCTATCGTCAACTTCCCTTACTTATGCAGCGATATACCTTCATCACCTGCATATGTAGTTTATATATCTCAGTTGATTAGACACACAAGAGCATGGTCTACGTGTGAACAATTTCTACAACGTGGTAAATTATTGACAAACAAGTTAATGAAACAAGAATTTCAGCAGGCTCGTCATCATTTCGAAAGTTCTATGGTCGATACAATGCCTTGTCAGCAAATACAATTTATCACTGATTCAAATGCTGACTGACGTTTTTCATATTAGGTGTTAGTCCATTATTTATACACTAAATTGAAGACGGATTTTTCCGTTATTTCCCTATCATGACTAGGAGCACACGGCGGATGAGACCGGTCGGTAGGGGATGCTCACTCCTCCATGGCACCTGATACCATCTCTGATGTTTTGGAGGTCCGTGTTTGTTTGCTCCTATTTTGTATTGTTTTAATGACTTTTGTTCTGGAATACTGTTTGTTATCTCCAAATGTTTTTCTCTTATTGTACATGTGTATAGAAACTGTTGTATTGCGGAAACGTGCGGTGTTAAAGAGGGCTGGGCGGTCATGACCAGTTTTAGACTATGTAAAACTCGTTGAAAAGAAAAACTGTATTTAAAAACAAAATAGGAAATTGATTCAATCTCGAATTCCGAAGTTCTGTATTATGCTATGTTCACAGATTCTTTCATTTGTATTCTTCTTTACTTAATAATTCTGAACAAAACAAGAAAAAAACCCAGATGAAATAAATAATTTATTGATAATCAACCAAATCATCAAACAGATATATGAACATGTATCTAATGTTTGCGTTGTTTTGAGGTGAAATGCTTTTCATTCACAGATCTAGAGTTTCAATTTTTTTTTGTAAGGATTATTGAAATTAGACTTATATAATCATTAAAAGAATGTAAATTAAACAACAGGAAAAAAGATAATACCATTTATGAAGTCTCATCTATCCATAATCATTGCACAGAAACATTTAAAAATAATAAATGAACATAGAAAACAAGAATCTAGTAACCATTAAAGATTGGCAAAATCAGTATTGTAAAAGATCAATAAAACGAAATACAGACAGTCAATACAAAAAAAAATAAATATTTAGCCCTTTATAAAACATGCCATTTTCATCAATGAACTTAAAAAAGTAAATCAACACTATACGCTTTTGGGAGGGGTTAAAATTATACAGAATAGTTAAAATGTCCTCTCATGTCTTTTCCTTATGTGCATTATTAAAAAATCATCAAGTATGAAAATTAAAAGTTAAAACAATTTTATATACATTATTTAGATCCCAAAATAAGTTTGTATGGTTGCTCTAAATACCAAAATGCTTCCTCTGTAAAGCAACGTATATATAGATGTTTAGCATCCATTTACTCTAGTGATATCCCTTCCCTCCTCCATGCAGTCAACTAACCAGGTATTTAAATAGTGTACGTGCGAGAATTTCCCCCATGATTTAGTGTAACAGTGCAGTTTTTTTTTCTGAGGAAATAAAAAAAAATATTTTTAAAATTTGAAATTTCTATTTTGAATGTATTTTGATCTCTTATACATAAACTTACCAACTATGTTCACACAAAAAACATAAACAAGACATATAACCTGTTTTCAGTAGGAGTATTTCGATATCATTTTGTAAACAATTTCAATAAAGTTAATTCAAATTGGAAAACAAAATAATGCTCAAGTTTTTTAAGTTGTATTCAAACAAGAGCAAATTCTTTTTTTTATTCTAAAAAATCTTGCATTCAATAAAATTCATACCTATAAACAAAAAATATTACATTTTTTTATTTTGTATAAGAAGTACCAAAAAAAAATTTGTGGAACATGCCATTACAAATCAATATTTTTAGCCGAATCCTAATTTACTGGTTGATTTCTAGTGGACTTCATATGAATATTTTTCCAAAGGTTTTCGGCAATAGAAAGATTTATAAATCTTTGGAGCTCTCTGAGAAATCTCTTCCCCGTCTGTTTTATTGACTTCATGACTTTAAGGTCCTGAGTATTTCTGAAGAAAAATTGTAATAAATTTAAATATTCTTTACAATCACTTTTATATACGTACACTGAATATATATTCCTAAGTATCTTCGATAATGTATTTTTGAGAACATCAAGTCTTTACACGATTTACATATATCGTAGATTTATCTACATATTTTCATGTGGTCAGTTAAATTCTCTAAAAATATTTCGGTTAACATATATGAAAACAGTGAATGATACTTGCCGTTTATTTTTATCTAGTAGCACACCATTAAGGCAATTATTCTGCAGTGATGAGTAAACTTGAAGTCCACAACATTTGGGTTTTCGTATATTTGATACGGAATAAACAAAACCTGAAAATTATAATTCTGATATGAATGAATGCACTTTTTATAAACAAAGTATACATAACTAAGAAATATACGAGGTAATCAAAAAGTTCATGGACTGTGGTTATAAAATAAGAACTATGTAGTTTGTGCTTTTAAAATTTATAAGGAACATAAAACAACAAAAAATAAAGAAATGTTGAAAATTTTAGCTTGATACGTTCATTATTTGCCAAAATATGATAAAAATTAAGCAAAACATTATATGAACGTATACGAAATTCATTAAATTTATAAAGCTGGGGATCCAAGATGACTTCGCTATATCCGTAAAATCGCTATATCCGTGTAGTCAGTTTTAACATTTAAAAGGTCAATACCAGTTTTTTCAGGGGAAAAAACTTAAAAGAATGTTGGAAAAGGAGACAGCTCCCCCTTTTTGACGTCATTTTTATGGCCTTATTTATTTGGATGCTCCATGTAAAATTTACGATAAAATGTCATAGAACTGCAAGAATGGGTTAAAAATTCCATATATTGAATAACAGTATTTCAACTCATACATGAATTACCAGAATGTAGGGATGCCAAATATTCATATCATAGAGTTTTTCCCAATTACACTTAGGTCGAAAAAAATGTCGTGCTCGAGGTTGCACCGCCTTGACCTACCATTTCTTACAAAACATTACTTATTTATTAAAAAATAAAATTAATGATTTGTGGTAAATTCTATAGATAGAAAATTTAATGCTTATACAAGATATTTTAAAATTTATTCATGTACCTAAAGCGGTTTTAATTTTATATCGCTGGTCCAAAAACTTGTTGATACCCCCTCGTATATATAAATAAGACATAATTTTCCTCTGTCTGATTGGTCATATGAAGGATGCAACCTAGACGCTTTTTGAGTTACTGTGAATTTGGTTAAACTTACCTCCTTTAGAATCAGAAACTTTTTTACAGCAAATTCTATCATCGTCCGCCCTCTCAAGCACTTTTCCACCGCAACAAATCTGTGTTTCTGTTTTGTAGGTGGTTTCTGTTTGAGAAGCATAGATATAGATTTCATTTAATAGGAATGTTTAGAAATATAGCGTAGGAAATGAATGCTGTACACACATGTACAATGATACATACTAACTTTAATATCGACCGCATTTTGCAGATTATTTTAATACCGGTTATTCTGTGTTATCATTTTGAAGGTAAGAAAGCAAATGGACAAAGTTAACTTTAACTATGATTTTTTGAAAAAATAAAAACAATTGGACATGCTTAATAACAAATAAAAATATATAAAAGCCGACAGTGTGAATTGCCACAAAATATAATTAGTTAATTAAAGACAGATGATACAAACAAACTTTTGTCAAATACATTGTTAAAAACATCTTGAGTCTAAGTTTTAACGAATAAAATGAATAAGTTTCACCGAGTAGTTTTTTTTTCTTCCAAAATTGCACAAAAATCGAATTTGATATGAAAAATATTTGTATAGAATAATAAGGATGGTTTCAGAAGGGTAGAATTTTGAACATCACAGACAGAAGGTTCACAATTTCTTTATATTCTAGAAATTTATTATTCGCATCATTTGCAATAAAGTTAGGTCAAAAAATATATACCAATCCAGACATCCATTTTTTTTGTTTGTATCAACCGTCCTTAAAAAGAAAAAATAGAATTTTGCCTGCCTCCACAGCATTCGATGTTGTAGTCTTTGTCTTTATTATGTACCCCTGATCCCGAACAGCAAATTTGAGTGACGTTATTGAATTCTCCTTCTATAAACGTCTCATTCCTAACAAAGAGACATGGTCCTCTTTGCAGAACTAAAATATAATGGGTTTTCATGATAAATATGTACAGTGCATGGTATGATATGTAAAAATGTAGCAAATATTGATAATCATAAATAAAAGTGTTACTTACCAAGGGTATGTGCATTCCTTGCAACAAAGATCAGAATTGGAAAGAAATGGTACATTGTAAACATACTTCTTCTTACTATCAAATTTATAATTATAAATGAACAAATTGGATATGGTACCTCTTTTTAATCACATTTTGTAACATGACGTAAAGTGTTTAGATGAGTAACCATTTAAACAAATATCCGGATGTTTTAATAGATGGTCCATGAGGAAAACCCCTTTTTATGCAAATTAAAGGGTAAATTTAAGGGTCTTACTGTTAACATTTCTTCTTATATCAAGGTTTTCAAAAGCCTGATTTGAAATGAAACATACATAATGGAGATATTGATATTGTAGTTTTTGAAAGTAAAACAGTATAGAATTTAAAATTTACATTCATATTTAAGGTTAGGTTAAGGGAGTTGTTGACTGTCTTACGCAGGTTTATATATCTGGAATCAGAATGGGTCAGTAGAGTATTATGTATTATTGCCATGATTCTCCTGTAACTTTTACACACATTCATTTTTAAAACTATTCAGTGTTGTAACTCAAGTCTCTAGTACAAAAGGCATTCATTATTTATTTAATTCAACTTTTCAATGAGTATAAATGAGTCTTTGAAATTTATTTCTCATTTCATATGATTATATGATTATTGAAAAAGAATGCATAAATTCAATGTATCATCTAATCATCTAATTCAATGAACATAACGCTATATTATTTCAAAATATTTATATCTAAATTCAGTGCCATGAAATAGCTATAGGGAATTAATGGAAAGTGACGAGATTGGAACATATTTATTAGGTTAAAAAATTTTACTTGAAGTACCAAGAAGAATGAAACATATGGAGATAACGAATCAAAGATCAAAAGTCTATAAAACAATACACAATAGGAGCAGAGCAAACGCTGACCTCCTGAACATCAGGGGTGAGATCAGGTCCCCTGATAGGAAAATAATAGAATATCCGTCGTCAATTCAATGAACAAACAATGGGCTAACAATAAGTATGAAAAACTTCAACCACGATTTGACTCAATGATAAATTGTATTTGCTGACAAGGTCATTGCATCGACCATAGAACTTACGAAATGATGACTTTAAACGAGACACCTGATATTCTTGTTTCATCAACTTGTTTGTCAATAATTTACCTCATTTTAGATATCATACGTGAGACATGCTCTTGCATATCGAATCAACAGAGATATGCAGTTGATGAAGGTACATGTATATTGCTTCATAAGTAAGGGAAGTTAACGATAGAAAAGTTAAAGTCATCACGTTTATTATAGAGCATGGTTGTTAGATTTCCTTAAACGTCTTTTTCAAGTAGAAAATCCAAATATGAAACAGATGTGTCATACTCTGTCATATCTTTTATCGCAAGCTCACCGGGATATATCGTATTGAAATAAGAATGGAAATTGTTAATTGACAATACGTCATCGATATACACATTGTAGATCTAAATGTCGAGCTGAAGGCCACAGCAAGTGTTTTCTTCTTTTCACGCATAAGATTTGGGACAAATTCTGCTTCATATGATTACAGAAATAGGTCTGCTATTAACGAGGTGCAATTGGTACCCATTGGA